GTTTGCTATTAGTTTATTTTATTTATTAGTTTATTATTTTTTAGTTAGTTTATTATTTAGTTTGTTCTCTCCAGTTTTTTTTAATTTTATTTAAAATTTGGTAGACGCCGATGGACATATTGCAAAATATTATTCTACAGCATGAAAATTATTTAAATTTTAAAAATTAAAATTTAAAATAAAGTGTTCAATTTTAGGGAAATTATTTAATTTTGGCTGGTGTTTATCGATCTAACCTCTTCTGCAAATTCAACGGCAGCTTCTGCGAATGACGTCTTTCCAAGTTCGCATTTCGAACTGAGAGAAAAGAGAGAAAAAAATCGCCAGCCATGGCGATAGTTACGCCAAAGCTGGATTCATCCATTTTGTCTTCTGCGTCATTGGATTGATTTGAAAATGCCCCGTAAAATATTAAAATTTTTTTAAAAAATTTTTTTTGTTGGATTAGTTTTAGTTATATTTAATATTTGTAAATGTATGTGTGTGTGTATACATATACACATCTATGCACATACTTACAAACCCAGGTTCATACATTTCCGAATCCGGTCCCGATAACAGAACAGTACCCCCCAAAAAACTTAAAACTTCCAATTCTCCATGTTTTAAAATTGAATTACAAACTAGATTAAGATAATGTTTCAACCATACATATTTTGAACAAAACAATGCAAACTCTTATTTTTATACAATCGTTCAAACTATTTAATATAAATTTATTGCTGCAATAAAATAATAAGCAATCTGATCACACATAATATTTTGAAACTGAATGCATAAACTGACTAAAAAAATTCAGTCATAAACATTTGGATAGCAGGACAAATCAGATATTTGAAAAGACAGCCATACACGTAATTCACGACAGAACGGTAACAATTCATAAAGCTGTGATAGCTAACACATTTAACTGTCAAAATGACATAAATTCGAAAAGCAAAAAAGTAAACATACAAGTATTGCAAATGAACTTACCTTTCATGCAACAAAAAATATCCATAGAAACAAGTAAACCTCATGGCGCAGCCATCTTGGATTTCGTTTCAAATCAGACGGACGTTTACGGATTTGCGGAAGAATACGAGGAACTAGTAGTTTGCCGGATACAATGTGCAATGACGCGAAAGAATATAGTTCTGCAGAACTTCCTACATTATTCCGTAATAAACAGTACTATTTCATAATTTTTTCTTTATCTCATTAATTAATTAATAGGGAAATAGCTGAATAATTCTGAATTAATTTTCAATGAAATGTAAAATTTTGCATGTATGTGACGACCACCTTCTGTCCAATATATTTCTGAGAATATAAACAAATTTTGGAATCTGAGAGTATTAGTAAATAAATGTATAGAATATCGCCTCTCAAACGACCACTTCTGAAAGTGACCAATAGTTCTGAGATTATAAATAAATATTGATATTAAGCATTATTTCTATAAGACGACCATCTCTATATAAGACCAAAGTTTCTAGAATCTTGGATAGTCATCAGAGAATTATTTTTACTGCGAAATTATCGCACGACTGTAATTCAATATCAATAACAGATCGCGCGATTGAAAAACATTTTCTGTCCTGTAATTATGAGGTATTTCTCCCGCTTTCCTAGCGTGCCTTCGTGGTGTAATGGTTCTGCACGCTGGGCCGGTATTTCAGAGGTCCGTGGTTCGATTCCCGGCGAAGGCGGTTGCTAATTTTTCATCTCTACGGCTTCCCAAAAAAATCCTAATGTCTCTACAGTGGCGCCCGAACTAAAAAGGTGTTGGATGAGGTATATCCACACCCTAGGATTTAGTGATTGGGTCCCCTTAAAAAAAGTCGCCCTTTAAAAAGGGTAGTAATATAAGGTATTTCTCCCGCTTTCCTAGCGTGTATTCGTGGTGTAGTGGTTCTGCACACTGGGCCGGTATTCCAGAGGTCCGTCGTTCGATTCCCGGCGAAGGCAGTTGCTAATTTTTCATCTTTCCTGCTTCCAAAAAAATACCTAATGTCTCTATACCCAAATTTAAAAAAAAATTCGTTTCCGTAATTAAAAAATATATAATATATATATATATATAATTTTACCTATATTTATAGTAGGGTTTGTAATCTGTAAGTAATTATACATGTAATTTATACATTTTTTATAAAAAAATATATGTTATTTAGAATTTTGCAAATATTCTAGAAAATGCTAATCCATTGAAAAAAATCTTTTCCATGACTAAATAAATTTTTAAAAACGTCAGAAAAAATAGCAGTTAAAATTAATAACAAAATAACAAGAATAAATCATCAATCATATCAATATTTTTAATGTACAGCATTTAGAAACAACTTAGTAAAATACATATGAAAAATTAAATAATGTGCAAGTTTCAGATGTGCAATGTCAAAAAATTAAAACTGGTAAATTTGAGAACAAATATCCTCAAAATGTTTGACAACGAAAGTCCTCCGGACAATGCAGAATGAATGTCCTCAGGATGTGAAATTGGTGAAGTCCTCAGGACATCTGAGAATCAACATCTTCAGGACATCCTGTCATATCCCGGGACATAGCGACTTAAATAAGACATCCTCAGGATGTTAAATTATGATCTCCTCAGGACATCCTAAGTATGTCCCGGGATGTTGCGACTTAAATAGGACATCCTGAGGATGTTTTGTGCTATGATGGGTTTCTGTTTAACCATTCAATCATCACTTTGAACCACTTTTAAAGCAAATAATTCATTAATCATTGCAAGTGGAGTGTCTGAATCCACAAAATATTCATAATAGTTCCTTTTTCTGCTAGGCCATATGCAGTTGACTTTTTAATGCCAAAATCCTTGTATAATTTTGAGATGGATATACCTATATCCATTTTTTTTTTTCAGCAATTCCACTTTTTGTTTAATGGACATTGAAACATGCTTTCACTTTATAGATCCCGTTTCAGCTCCAGAATTAGAAATTCTTTTCGACATAATTGAAAGTTCAAACCTTAGTTTTCAAAAAATTGCTGTAATTATAACAGCCTGCAAAAAAAATATTTAATAAATAAATTCCCACATATACTTAAGCTTACTGAAGGCTGGCGCTAGATACTTTGCTGCCAGATGCAGTCTGTGTGGGTCCTAAATTCTGCTACCAAGTGCCTCCCTAAGTTCTAAATATTTGCCACCCCTTAATTTTGGGTCCCAATGCTTTCCCTAAATTCTAGAAATTTTATCATCCCTTAATTTTGTTATTTGGTGCTTCTCTAAATTCCAAAAATTTTGTCTTCCCTAAATTCTGCTGCTTGGTGTGGCCATATGAGCTCTGGCACTGGTTCTGTGTTTATGTGAATAAAAAAATCAGTTATTCTTAATTGAAATAACACTAATTGTAATCTTTTGGCCTATGAGTATCATTAACAAAATCTATTTTTAAGATATGGAAAAAAATTAAAAAATTTTTTTTCCTTGTCAACATTCATCGCATTTAACTCTATAATCATCCCCAAACGTAATATCAACATAAAAGGTTTCTATACTCTTGTTATTCAGTCACTAATATAAAAAAAAATTGTTTAGGCATTGCTGCATGAGTTATTACTCAAGTTGTCATGTGTTGATAAACATAGGTGGTGAAAGCAAAATATAATAAATAATGATTTACAGTGTTGGTGTCAGGGATATAAAATATTAGTAGTTAAAAATGTTTCTATCTAGAATGTTTTGGTTTGAGATGTAAGCCAAGCAAATATGCAGCTATGGATCCAAATTATTGATCACACAAATTTATGCTAAAATGATTGTTTCTTCAATAATGAAGGTATTTTATTTAGTGCTGATGTTTTCTTATGGGGAAAAAATTCGAATGTGCATGCCTAAAGCATAAAAAAAAATTCCTAGCAGAAATTATTGTTGGTGGGGTTATTTCCTTAATTGATAGACATGACTGGTCATATTACAGTCAAAAGTCTTTAATCCGGACTCGTCGGAACTTCGGCAATTCTGGATTATCGGTTTTTCTGGATTATAGATCATCAGTTTAAATCTGCTAAGATGGCATGCAGAAATTATAAAATTTAAAGTATGAACTGTAATTTGTGAAATAAAGAGAAATTATGATCTAAAGGATATCAAAATTTACAAAAAAAAAAAAAAAAAAAAAAAGAGCTTAATATCTATTTGTTTACTTTATTAAACATTTTTTTTAACGCGCGCATGCGTAAAGCATACATTGCGCATAGTCGAAATTAGAAAATTGCAATCAGTAAACTATTTGATGTGTATTCGGGATATTTATAATGACGAGGAATTTGATTTAAATCATATCAAAGCCGGAGTACATCGATAGGAAATACTACATTTCGTAAGGAATTATAAGCCGAATAAAATAAAAACATCTGTCCTGAAGATAAGGATAGTGCTGACAGATCAACTTCCAGTTCATTGCGCGCGGTGATGTCCCCCCCCCCCCCCACCGCAGAGCAGCGTGAAATTGATAAACGGATTTCGGAATGGTTAGAGAAACAAAGGATATACCTTTATCTATTTTTTACAGCAATTCCACTTTTTATTTGATGGACATCGAAACATGCTTTCGCTTTGTAGATCCTTTGGTAGTTCCAGAATCGGAAATTCTTTTTGACATAAGCGAAAGTTCAAGCTTTCTTTTATAAAATTGCTCTAACAGTCTGCAAAAAATAATAAGCCGGATCCAATTAGAAGATAGAACAATGCAATCTGCAACATTAACTGAAATAGATAATTAGATCATTTTTATTTAGCTTAGCTTTACCGTTCGTTTATACATTACACGCGCATGCATAGACGCATATGCGCAATGCGTTAACGCATGCACAGAAAGTTTGCAGCTTTGATGTCCGGATTAAAGACTTTTGATTGTATTATTCGATTATTATTGTTGCTTTATTAAAAAAGTATTGGTATTTTTGTGATAATTGAAATTCATTGAGTAAAAATATGAAACATTTGGAGAAGTTGAATTTTGAATTGCAGTTGCTTTTCCATTTTTCAGAAAGTTATACATTCTGCTCTACAAAACTTGTGCCTCTCTTCTGGGACCAGCCCTATTAGCCCTTCTAGCACAAGCAACATGGATAAATCCCATTTGATAGTTGAACTTGCTGATGCAAAAGCTAGACTTAGGAAACTTCAGCAAGAAGTGTAAGTTTATAATTTGTTTGGTACTTTTGCTTTATCTGCCTGCAGGTCTGGCAGTCATATCTTATTGTATTTTGTTGGCCATTTTTAATACTGAAATTCTGTTTTTGAGTCTCACGTTGTTTGGTTTCATCATGTGGCTATTTGAATTACCATCCGCTGAAAAAGATTCGATTGAATATTTCCAGCAAATACATTATAGAGGCAATAGGCAAAACAGCTTCTACCTGAAATAAACACTAATCGACATAAGCAATCCCCCTTCGACACTTTTTGTGATTATTTTCATTGTTTTATTATGTGTTACTATATCATATTATTTGTTCTTATGATATTGTGGGCAGATAAAGGAAAAGTAACATTATTTTAATAGTAAAATTTATTTTTATACTTTTTTCTTTTACAGAAAAATTGGATTCTGTTCTACATCGTTAAATTGTCTAGCAGTATATGGTTGATATCAATTAATTTTTCCTATTTTTATAGAAAACTATCTTTTAAGCATTTTCCATTAGAAAGTATTTTGTGAGATTAAAAAAACTTCCTTTAAATTGATAACATTTGAATGCTTTGTATATTTAATTTACTAATTAATCATTTTGAAAAAAATGTATTTAAAATTGATTCTAAGCTGTAATCTAATTTATACTCTTCTGTTATTGGGGCCGTATTGAGAAATGTATGTATGTATGTGCTCATGTATGCATGTACACACATATACAGTGTCTCAAAAAAGTGATGGGACACTTGTGCTTTACAAAAGGAAACTGTAGTAAAATAAATTTAAAAAACAGTAAAAAATTTTTGTGGGTGTGTTTCGTACTTAAATTTAGTAACAATTATTACATAACATACATTTTCTCAAAATATTAAAATATTAATTTAATAAAAATGCAATTGTTTAGAACGGAGCAAAAAATGGCACACATAAGTGATGGGACACTTACTTTTCCATCAAAATATTTATCCAAAAATTTTACTTTTTTAAAAAAAGTTTTAATATTTGTTGGATTTCCTTTCTTTTTAAAACATGATTCAATCTTCTTGGGATGGATTCCACTAATTTTTTTTTTGTGATTTTCTGGAGTGATTTTTACTTCCATTCTTCTTGAAGCACCGATTTTAATTGTTGTTTTGAAGATAATGGGTGTTGTTTGCGAATTCTTGATTCCAATTCTTGCCAAATATTCTCTATAGGATTTAAGTCTGGAGATTGTGGTGGGGTGTTTTTTATTATTTCAGGACAGTTTATAACAGCAGCCAGAGTCTAACGTTCAAAGCAGTGTGCTTAGGGTCATTGTCCTGGTAGAATTTAAAAAATCGTTTATGAAGGTTTCAATTTTCGCGCTGAAGATTTTCAAATTTTGATTTAAAATGTCAATATTCTTTTTGCTGATCCATTATACTGTCAATAAAAACAAGATTACCAACTCCAGCGGACGACATACCACCCCATACCATAACTCCTCCTCCACCATGTTTTAATGTTGGCATCAAGTTCTGTTTGCGAAATTCTTCCCTGGGTTTTCTCCACACCAAGATTCTACCGTCAGAACCAAATATATATATTAATTTACTCTCATCAGCAAATATAACTTCATTTCCAGTAATCAGAATTCTTCTTATTTTTGTTGGATTTTGTGAAAGCCAGTCTGAGTTTTTCTATTCTTTTCACTCACGAAGAATTTTTTCCTGGCTGCTCTACAGTGATATCCAGCAGATCGAATTACTCTTCTAATAGTCTCAGGATTAACAATTACTCCATATAATGCTTGTAAATCAGGAACAGTTTTAGGAGCACTCATTCTTGGATTTTTTTTTAATATTTCGAACGATAATTCGCTTTATTCCATTGAATAGTTTTGATGGTCGGCCACGTCTTCTTTTATCCTAGATCATATGATTCTTTTTATATTGTTTAATGATATTGAAAACTGTTGAAGGACTCAAGTTAACTGTTTCAGCTGTTTCTCTAATAGATTTTCCACGTTCAATATGCAAATTAATAACTAAATTTCGAATTTCAGGCAAAGTTTCTTTTTTTTCGTTGCATTCATAGCTGCACAGAGCTAAAAAACAAAAAAATTCCAAAACAAACTGGAGAGAAAGACTGCAGACGATTTTATAAATTATTGCCAAATGCTTTTGAGTAAAAAATAATACCCCCCAAAAGATATTTTTTATTGCTTACTTCAGATGATTTTGTTGCATAGTACGTAGTGTGCCATCACTTATTGTGAGCCATTTTTTTTTTGCTCCGTTCTAAACAATTGTATTTTTTTTATTAAATTATATTTTAATATTTGAGAGTAAATGTAGTTATGTAATAATTGTTACTAAATTTAAGTACGAAACACACCCACAAAAATTTTTTACTGTTTTTTAAATTTATTTTACTACAGTTTCCTTTTGTAAAGCACAAGTGTCCCATCTCTTTTGTGAGACACTGTATTATCAAAGAACTCATATTATCAAGTGCGATGACGATTGCAAACACTACGTATTATAATGGAAATAGATGGATGTGTACATGGACACCGAGCTTTGATGTTTTTCGAGCGAATACGGATCGTTGTGTACAAAGGAAAACGAGATAATGTGTGATGACGAGCTGTAATGTAACGTATTTTATATGCAATGTTTAACATATCATTTATGTATTTTAAATTTGTATTGTTGTTTTAATTGTGAATTATATTTAAGACCATTTTTCAGTTAAACTGTATTTTTAATTTTTTGGTTTTGATATGTTTACAATGCTTTCCGACTTACGATATATATCGATAGCCCGACGATCTACTCAACAGTAGCAAAACTGTAAACTTTGACCCTATAAGTAACTTTTACCTCATTATTATAATACGTAGTGTTTGCAATCGTCATCGCACTTGATAATATGAGTTCTTTGATAATACAGTGTCTCACAAAAGTGATGGGACACTTGTGCTTTACAAAAAGGAAACTGTAATAAAAATAATTAAAAAAAAAACATGTAAAAATTATTTGTGGGTGTGTTTTAAATACTTAAATTTAGTAACAATTATTACATAACATAAAATTTTTCCTCAAAAAATATTAATTAATAAAAATACAATTGTTTAGAACGGAGCAAAAATGGCTCACATAAGTGATGGCACACTACGGTACTATGCAACAAAAATCGTCTGAAGTAAGCAAATAAAAATATCTTTTGGGGTATTTATTTTTACTCAATAGCAATTTGCAATAAATTTATAAAATCGTCTGCAGTATTTCTCTCCAGTTTGTTTTGGAATTTTTGAGTTTTTTTTATCTCTGTGCAGCCATGAATGCCAAACGAAAAGAAACTTTGCCTGAAATTCGAAAATTAGTTATTAATTTGCATATTGAACGTGGAAATTCTATTAGAGAAACTGCTGAAACAGTTAACCTGAGTCATTCAACAGTTTTTCAATATCATTAAAAACGATATAAAAAGAATCATATGATTCAGGATAACAGAAGACCTCGCCGACCATCAAAGCTATCCAAAGGAATAAAGCGAATTATCGTTGGAAATATTAAAAAAAAAAAAACTCCAAGAATGAGTGCTCCTATAGTTGCTGTCTGATTTACAAGCATTATATGGAGTAATTGTTAATCCTGAGACTATTATAAGAGTAATTAGATATGCTGGATATCACGGTAGAGCAGCCAGGAAAAAATTCTTCTTGAGTGAAAAGAATAGACAACTCAGACTGGCTTTCGCAAAATCCAACATAAATAAGGAATTCTGATTACTGGAATGAAGTTATATTTGCTGATGAGAGTAAATTTAATATACTTGGTTCTGACGGTAGAATCTTGGTGTGGAGAAAACCCAGGGAAGAATTTCGCAAACCACACCATTTCTTTAAAACAACAATTAAAATCGGTGCTTCAAGAAGAATGGGGTAAAATCACTCCAGAAATCGCAAACAAATTAGTCGAATCCATCCCAAGAAGATTAAATCATGTTTTAAAAGTAAAAGGAAATCCAAACAAATATTAAAAACCTTTTATAAGTAAAAATTTTTGGATTAAATACTATTTGATGGAAAAGTAAGTGTCCCATCACTTATGTGAGCCATTTTTTTTGCTCCGTTCTAAACAATTGTATTTTTAAAAATTGTATTTTTAAAATATTTTGAGAGAATGTATGTTATGTAATAATTGTTACTAAATTTAAGTATGAAACACACCCACAAAAAATTTTTACATGTTCTTTTTAATTTATTTTATTACAGTTTCTTTTTGTAAAGCACAAGTGTCCCATCACTTTTTTGAGACACTGTATGCACATACATATAGGCACATACATACCTATATACACATTTCTGAATCCAGTCCCAATAACAGAAGGGTACTCCTAATTTATTGGATGTTCATTGATTCCTTAGTATCAGTGCAGAAATACACTGTGTATATATATGTAGTATCTGTAAGTGCGACACAACCACCAGAGGGCCTCACCAATGCGCCAGCAGCGAGGTGAAAGAGGAGTATGACAGAGACTTTCTTCTGCTATCCCACATGAAGGTGGTGAGATGTCTGTCTACACGTGAAGGTGTAGAATAAGAAACTGTAGTTCTCCACGCCAAGGTTGTAAATTGAACTGTATAATACATCAGCAAGTGCGATTAGGCACTAATCGGTTATGTGATAACACTGGCAAAAGCTATACAGAATCCTGTTTGTATCAAACGGCACTTGTATTTAATCTAATTTGTACCTCTTCTGATTTCCTTTATTAAATGTTCTGTGGTGTGGAAAACAACGTTGGAATTGTTATTTAGCATCTTCAACTCCCCCACTACACACATATATATATAAAGATTCATGTAAGAGATGACATTACATTTTTAAGGCATTTAAAAAGGAGGGGAAGGATTTGCAAGTGATATGATTTTACATATGTTTGAAATCTCACGTATATGAGCAGAAAATGATCTGGAGAAAAAATGATTAAGAGGCCTAAACCTTTTTTGAACTTTTTTGAGATAAAATAAACTCTGAGTAATCTGTTTTCTTTTCATGTAAAAATTTAGGGATAAGTAATATTATATGGAATGAATGAGTAATGTTTTTCAGATTAAGGGAGGGAGACATGATCTTCTATAGGTTTATGTAATATTCTTTTCAAGAAAAATTTACTTACGTTTAGATAGTAAAATAAGTATAATATTCATGTTGTCTTATTTTCATTTCTGTTATTACTTTTGTAAGCTTTTTTTTTTTTTTTTTTTTTTTTTTTTTTTTTTTTTTTTTTTTTTTTTAAATTTCTAAACTGTGTGATCTTCTTAACTCTTAAGTATTATTTTGTAATTCTATAATATTTTTGTAATTTAGTTAATTAGTAAACACGTGCTATGTTGCTAAATGCAACTTTTGAATTCAAAATGTATTATGCTTTATGAAGCTTTTATTTGTATTATACAGTGAGGAAAAAAATGAAGGAATAACAGAATTAAAGGAAGAACTAGAGAAATCCAAAGAATCTTTATGTAAACTTCGTCAAGAAGTAAGTGTAGGCTTAACATGTTTCTCTATTTCTAAAATTATTTCTGAAAAATAATTGTACTTAAAAATGTATATAAGTATATTTTTTACTATTAGTGTTGATTTTTTAATAATGCTCATTTTAATTTTTAACATTATGAATATATGTGTTATATTTAGAATTTTATTAAAACTTGATTCTGTATAAAAGTATGCAATTTTTTTAATGCTTTTTTAGTGCTATTTCAGGCTGTAAGGAATGCATTACTATTTTAAACCAATGATCACTGATCTGTGTTATTTAGGCCATTTTTATTCACTTTTGTATAATTTTATTATGTTTGTTCTACTTGAAAATATTGACTTTGTAAGCATTTACAAACAAATACTCAAGTAATGTGTGTAATATTTCCTTCTTGCTTTTAATTGCTAAGTCATTTTTTCCCCCTCCCTTTATTTATAGAACTTAGAGTTAATTCAAGATGCTCGCACAGCAAAAACTTATCGAGATGAAATAGATATCTTAAAAGAAAGGGTAAGCTTAATTTTTTAATTTTTAGTTCCTTCAATTGTTAAGTAGTATTTGACTGTGCAATAAATAATTTCTGACTGCTATTTTTATAATATTTTCATTTTGTAGGTTCGTAAAGTCGACCGTTTGGAGAGTGAAATTCAAAGATACAAAGATAAAATGAATGAATTAGATTTCTACAAATCCAGAGTTGAAGTAATTTTGCTTTTCCTTATTGTATTTAAACTGTCAAAACAAGAGTTAGAAGAATAATTTTTTTAGCATTTATCCTAATTTTATTTTGTAACATAATAATATATGTTGTATAATTATTATGTTTAATAATATTAGGAATTCTTTGATCATTGTTTCATTTAAGTATGTTATTTGAGTGTCAGAAAATCCTATAATTATGAAATAGAATATTTTCTTGTTTAATTACTGAATCAACCTTCAAAGCATTTTTTCTATGGTTCAAAATATTATCTTTGTTAAGTAAAATTTATGAGTTCTGTTTTATGAACATTGAATAAAGTTTTTTAATAATGATTTTGTTAATCCTTATTGCATTAATGCTAAGCAAAATTTTCTGTTTATAATTTACATTGCCTTTATTATATCATTCAGTTTATAATTTACATTGCCTTTATTATATCATTCAGTTTATAATTTACATTGTCTTTATTATATCATTCAGTTTATTAGTATCCTTGCTATAAAATTACATTTACAGTAACTTCTTAAATCCAAGTATTAGAAAAAACGATGTTAGGCTAACTTAAAAAGCATTATATTCATATATACAGATCACAGTATTCTAATAACAATGTGTACTTTTTTTTAGTTCAATACTTTTTTTTATTAGTTAACATAACATAACATAACAATAGGGGCGCTTCCTTCTTATGAAAAGAAGGAAAAGAGTTTAGGCAATATTGCCCATTACTCTTCCGCCATTTGATCATTTAAATCAAGGGATTTAAATGGTAACTCCCATAAAAGGTAAGTAATAAATAAATAGATAAGATCCCAAACTGACACCAAGTCTATAGTATCAGCAAAAGATCCCATTTCTAAGTTCAAGGTGTCGGTTGGATCGTGAAAACTTCCCTATTGGATGAAAAACCGATTCAATCCCTCCCAAACCACCAAACGCAATTCTTGACCAAACAAGAGTGCGATGGAGAGTCAAAAATAAATAAATAAATAAGGAGGGCAGAGGTGCATTCTCAAGCCAAATGGCCAGGTAGTGTATAAAGATTTGATATCTATATTTCAAATTTATTCCAAAACACAGCTATGAGAGGGAATCCCTGCATAGTTTCTTTTCAAAAAAAAAAAAAACCCAAAAAAAAAAAAAAAAAAAAAAAAAACTCAGAGGGCATCTCATTGCTTGTTTCTTGTGGTTTCAAATTCATCTTACCTGTAGGTGTTTAGTATACATCAGAAACCACTATTATGCCAGAGAGCCCTTTGTATATAGAAAAGGGCTTGATCAAAGGTAATATAGGGAAACCCAAGGAATTTGTTTCTAGGGGACAGAAAACACCGGACATCGTCCCAGGAAAGTGAAAAAGGATGTTTCCTCTTCTTCTTCACAAGCTGGGCAGAGAGGAGATTTCGACAAGACCACATTTGTGGAGATGCTTAGCCAGATAAGCATGTCCAGTAACAATTTGAATTACCTGGCGTAAGTTAGTTCTACTGAGGTGTATGAGTTTACCTGATAAGTTAAGTGTATCGAGCACCAATTTAGAATGAACACAGTCTGGTAGTTTAGACCATATATCATCATGTTTGTTCTTTATCCAGCTTCTTACTTCTTTTTTACCAGTTTGATATGAAACTGGGTAAAATGGTTCTGGGCCAGACATGGGTAGTTGCGAAGCATCTTTAGCTACTTTATCAGCTAGTTCATTTCCAGCAAAATCACAATGACCTGGGACCCAGACTAAACTAATGGTATTATGGGCCTGAGCCAGAGAATTGAGATCTTGAGTACAGTTCAAAACACAGTTTTGTAACTTGACACGATTAGCCAGGGCAAGGATGGCTGATTGGCTGTCAGAGAGAATATATATATACTTATCAACTGTATTTTTAGCTAAGAGCTCCTGGCGACCATATTGATCGCCAGAACCTCGGCTTGGAAAAACAGTTGTTAATTTACCAAGGTATAGATGAAATCTAATGAAATCTTCTTCAGATCCCTTGGTCCTTATAATAGCTCCAGCTCCAGTGGAAGTTGGATTTTGATCCATCTGTGTGTAACATTCAATTGAGCCTGTTGGAATTAGGTCAATTAGAGATTCTATCTCATTCCTTTTTGGTATATGAGTTGAGAATAGTTTATCTGGAACTATTGTTTTAGTAATTGCATCTTTGGGCATATAGATTATAGGGATCTCATTGCCCAAGTCCAGGACATATGTCAATGTGGCTTTTCAGGTGGCTTTTATGACCAAAACCTGTCCTTTGGCACCATGTGCCATTTTTATTCAATCTATACATGGCTTTAATTGCTTCTCCGCTCAAGAATAATTTCAAGGGTGGAATTTGCAGTAAAAATTCTAATGCAGCAGTAGGGGTACTATTTAAAGCCCCACTAATGCTTAGGCAAGCAAGTCTTTGCACCTTTTGTAAAATGTTTAAATACGTGCTTTTGTTAATAACATTAATCCAGACCACGCATCCGTAAGAAAGCATTGGCCGGACAATGGCAGTATAAATCCATAGAGTAGATTTTGGGTTAAGGCCCCATTGTTTACCAACGATTCGCCTACAAAGTACTAGAATATTTGTGGCTGTTTGTGCCTTTTCTTTTATATGGGTGATCCATGTGAGTTTACTATCCAGGTAACATCCTAGGTATTTAACGCATTCCTTACGTCTGATAATCTGGTTACCCAGATATAAATCTGCCAGTTTCCATTTCCTTTCTCCACGTGAAAACTATGACCTCAGATTTTTCAGCAGAGAAAGAAAGGCCATTTGTTATCACCCCAGTGTGAAACTTTATTTAAGATCTGCTGAGCTTGATTATGTAGGGTTCCGATATCGAAACCCTGTAATAACACAATAAGGTCATCTGCATAAGCCTGTGACATGCCAGGTTCCTCCCGTAGAAGTACTAAGAGTGAGTCGAATACCAGGTTCCACAGGAACGGAGAAAGAATACCACCTGCGCGGACACCCTTTAGTAATATCTCTCTTTACTTCATAGTCAGTGAGACTAACACAGATATTCCTGTTTTTAATCATGAAGATGACCCATCTAGGTTATCATAGGGTGAATATGACTTTCCAGTAAGGGCCTTATGTATTTTCTCGAAACCGATGTTATCAAAGGCTCCTACAATATCCTCCAGTAGATTTCTATTCTCCCACCAGTTTGGCAAAGTGTCCACACGTCAATATAATTGTTTTTTCTATTCTTCCACACGAGTTGGTGTAAGGCCGACTCAGTGGAGAAGCCAGGCCTAAAACCGTGTTGGTCTAAGCCAAAAGATATGTTTCAGATTATTATCTGACTGGAGGTGCCAGAAAATCAATCGCTCCAACAGCTTAAGCTGGAAGGATGTTAGCGTGATCATTCTAAAAGAGTTTGGTTTCTCATATGTATCTTTTCCTGGTTTAGGAAGAAAACACACCTCGTGAAGTTCTCCAAACCTTAGGAACATATCCTAAAATCAAACTGGACCTGAATATGTCCACGAGAATGTGACCAAAAATATCCCAGCCTTTCTGAAGCAGAATTGGGTAAATGCCATCGTTCCCTGGAGATTTAAAGGGAAGAAATACATCAAGGGCCGCTTTAGCCTTTTCAAAATTCACAATTGTCTTAGCAAAATCCAGATCTAATGGATTATGAAGTAGTTCCAATGGATTTTCCTGGGGGTCAGAGGTGACACTGTCCCCCAAATGAAAATTCAACATGGTCGAAAGTGTATCCAAAGGGTTTATAGTATAACTGCCATCAGGTCGCATAACCGATGAGAGTTGAGACTCCTGAGATCTTTTAAGAATCTTATATACTCTGGCAGTCTCATGGTAGGACAGAATATCTGTGCAGAACGATCTCCATGAGTTGTATTTAGTTTTCCTGATTTCACTTTTAAATTTCCTTTGTAGAATTTTGAAGTTAGACCAGTTAACTTCAGATTTATTTCTGACAGCTTTCCTGTGCGCTCTCCGAACCTCTAGGCGGAGGCTTTCAAGCTCCTTGGTCCACCAAACTCTCTTGCTAGGAGAGTACTTCCTTCGTTTGAGAGGGCATGATGCATGATAAGATTCAATAATGATATTTGTCAAATTGTTTGCTTGAATATCAAGCTCCTCGACTGTACAATTATTGTCTAAAACCTGAAGGTTAATGACATTAGAACCAGGAAATCCTTATAAAGGTCCCAATTTGTGTTTTTAATGTTTCTGAAATATTCAAGCTGGAATTTCATCTCTAATACAAAATTGTATAAGGCGATGGTCAGAAAGTGAGGGATTGTCACTTACATGCCAATTCTCAATAAGGTTATAAATATCAGAAGAAGTTAATGTGAGGTCAATGACTTCTTCTCTTCTTCTGTTAACAAAGGTGGGGCGATTTCCCCTGTTTACCCAAGTTAGGTTGGTATTCATTATAAGTTCCATGAGTTTTTCTCCTCTAGGATTAGTATCAGAACTGCCCCATGACAGGTGGTGAGCGTTAACATCACCACCAATAACCATAGGAATATTGTTTATTTCACAGAAGCTCACAAGATCTATAAATTCTTGCGGAATGTTAAGGTCATAAGCCATGTAAACCGAGCAAAAACAAATGTTTCCTCTCAGTGAACTGTTTATGTCCTTAATTACAATAGCAGTTAAGTCCTCTGATGTAAATTGGGATAATTTCATAGCCTTTATATTTTTAGAAATGTAAATGCTAGTTCTAGGTCTTTTATCAGGTCCCTCTGTCGAAAAGAAGTGCGCGTTCATGGGCCTACCAAGGATTTTACCCTTGTACACCCAAGGTTCTTGAATTAAGGCAACAAAAGTGCCTTGCTTACCTAATTGAGCAGCTAAATTGTATGAAGCTGCTCTGCTATGTTGCAGGTTTAACTGACATAACCTTAACCATTAAAACAGGTTAAATGAGAGAAAGAAACTTACCCTGAAGGAATTTTAGGAGAGACTTAGTTAAAAGCCGCATCCTTAGCATACTACTTCAAAGGAAGTAGTGACAGGGGAAAACTATTCAGATGTCTTCTCCAGAGCCTCCAAAGAAAGCTCTGGTTCCGACTCCTTTTCGGTCTCCCTTTCTTCCGTCAACTGTTTCTTCGGAGGATCCTTGGGCGGAGGAATTGATTTCTCCTGTTGCCTTGGTTCCTTCAGCTGTACACAGCCACGGGCACCACAAAAAAGTTTGAAATTCTGGGCCTCCAGATAATCCATAAGCTCATGTTCCACTCCCAGCACCAAGGTATTACCTCCGTCTCCAGGGATAACTGCCTTGATGGCGATCTTCTTAACATCCAGGCCCTTGTTACAGGCATCAAGGAGCTTGATGTTATCTTTTGGTGACCTGTTTACCAGGAAACCAAGCGAAAAACCTCTTCATGGGGGGTCTGTCTCCCGGGAGCCATGGCATGATAACCTGGATGGTTTTCTTCAGGGCCGGGTAGATCATTAATTAAAGTCTTAGGACGTCCACAGTCTCCTGGTCCTCACATGCAATGTTGAGGCCATTCGGCTGCAGGACTGTCTTGTGGACCCTGCAGGTGGTGATAGAGCCATCTATAATTCGGTCATCAATTATAGAGGTGATGAAATCTGAATCCACCGATGTTATGTCTCTGGAATCATCCTTGCAGACGATTCGCAGAGTGATTGCCTTTCTTGCAGCTTGACTATATAGCCGTCGTTTCTTGAGGGCCATTTGGGGTGTCACCAGCAATGCGTTCTCTCTTACGAGACTCTTCATTGCTTGGATGGTTCTTCCTCACCGGTTTGGAGGTGCTCCAGAGGTCCCAGCTTTATCTGTTTTCTCTTCGCTCCCTTCTCCCCAGAGATCGAGATCCCTTCCATGGCCCTCTCCAGTCGTTTCCAGCTCTTTCTGGCGTTGCCTTTTTCTCTTCTTTTATTTACAACCTCCTGTCATTGGTGACTGGTCATCCGCTTGCGCATCTGGCACAGCACTTCTGACAGAGGAGTCAGTATCCATCCCCACTGGGTTCAAGGCGTCCGTGTCCAAAGGCACATTCACCCCTTTCACCAGCGGTTCTGGTTTCTGTAGTCCTAAAGAGAAGAGCGTCCGCACCCGAGGGCACATTCACTCCCTCAGAAGGAATTACAGTGGTTATAGTGGGGATTTCAGAAGATGCGTTTTTCAGAGGATGCATTTTTATCTGACTTTTTGTATTGCTAAGCATCCATTTTGGTATTAAGATTGAAAAGAAGGGGGAGAAAAATTCCTTCCGATTTTCTAAGAGCCAGTTTGGAGGGGCTAGCCCCAGATTCAGCAGCCAGTAGTGACCTCGGAAGAGCCCCCGCTCTGCCATGCAGGACCCCACCCAGCACCACCTGGAACTACAAGGCAGGCGAGATTATACACCAGCTGATAGAGCAGCTAGGACATGCTGGTTAGGCTGCCCCAGGCTCCTGTACTATCTGGCGGCCTGAGATGCAAAACTCAGCTTTTTTCCTGTATCCTCTACATGGTTGCTTCCTCCAAGACCCCTCCTCTCCAGATCAAAGGTCCTCGGAATTTCAAATCCTCCCCACAATCGCCAGTTTTCCCAGGGAAGAGCGGTCCATTGGGTCGTCATAAGATTACTCATCATCAGACCGAACCTCATCCCACTAAACCCCAGTATGCCACAGGACTTTGTGACAGTTACCCATTTAGCACCACCCAGGGGGCACGTGTGACTTAAGGATAATCACGGACACGGGTAACATTACCCCCCCTTTTTATTAGTTAAACTGCAAGACGTTTGTGTCAAAGCGCTTTTGAATTGTAATGCCTATTATTATTATTATTATTATTATTATTATTTTCTGAGTAGAAAGATAAGGCACAGTACAACAAAAAATATTTTTTTAGAATAAAGCACAATAATACCGTAACAGACAGTATGTTTTTGGAATAAAGTACAATATCTGAAATTGTGAAAATTAACAGTTGTGTTAAATTGCTATAAGTAGAGGTTTAACGGTTAATTTCTATTTGTCATCAAAGGCAGAAATTCTGTTAGTACTTACAAAACATAATTTTAGATAATTACAATCTCTTTTGCTATATAATTGCTTACTATTTAGGTGAGACAGCGTTTGACAGACTTTAATCATCATTAGCAGTTGTGCATCTTATGTTTAAGCTCTGTGTAAGAGACTCAGAAAATGTTTTAATTTTCTAATAATTTCTAGGTGACTTTTATACAAATACCGTGTAACTTAATCCTCTGAGCTCCATGACCGGCTTGTTGCAGTCATGAGATTTTTTGTGATTTTGTATATATTAGCATGTAAATAAGTAATTATGTAAATTTAGCAAATAAATGCTGTTTAAATACAGATCTTCTTGACGGATCCAAAAATAGATGCCGCTTAGAGGATTTAGCATTTCAAAAATTCTGTTATTGCTGTTAGAAGTAGCACATTTACAAAGCTAATTATAATGTTTAGCATTTAAAATTTCATCTGTCCTCCTTGTTGTATCTTTTATAATTTATGTTTGTAATACATTTTAATTTAGTATTAAAGCAAGAACTATCAGTAAACATTTATTGTGGGTGTATGTATTTGATATGCAATTTCTGCACTAAAATATTATTCAAATAAAATTTTTTTCTATATTGTGATTTGGGAGTTTTTAATTTTGATGTGCATATGTAATAAAGTCAAGGTACATTAATGTTTAGATTTTCAATTTATTTGTTGTATTTTACGTTACTTAATTTTCATTTTAGGAACTAAGAGAAGACAATCGAATTCTTGTGGAGACTAAGTCTATGCTTGAAGAACAGTTAGAAGCTAGTAGAAAAAGAGCAGAGCAAGTTGTTGAATTAGAAGCTGAAATTCTGAAATATTGCTCTCAAATAAATGAACTTAACATTGTATGTCAGATGTTTATATTTAAAAGTTTATGTTTATTTATATTGTATTTCTTTTTTATTTTAAGGTGCAACCCTTAATTAAAAAAGGAAACAAAAATATTTAGTTATAAGAAAATAAAATCAAAGAATTAAAATGTTCGAATATATCTAAGATATCTATTTTTAATTGTTGGCTTTTATTTATTAACAACAACAGTATATCTCTTTAAACTAGAAATGTTAATTACTTTTGCATCATTAGTAATTTGAATGAATCTGGAATTCTGAAACACTGTTACCGTAATTTCTGGAAGAAACGCTGCAGCGTTTACGTGTTTAAAACTTAAATTTTCAGCGGGTGCGGCGTTTAAATGCACTAAAAATAAAATATTTCCTATGATGGTCATTGTGCATAGTTTGGATGGCCTTGTCATTGTGCATAGACTGGTTGCGGTTCACACAAAAGACCACTCAGTTGCTTTTGCCAAGTGATTTGTTACATTCTTCCTTTGACAGACCTACATGCCTTATTCACCCTAAACAGATCTCAGAACATACTTCTTCCCCCTTTCAAACAACCTCTCATCAGTTTGAATAGCTCTCCTCGCCATCCATGAATCTTCCAGGACCTCCTCCCCACCCCTGCCTTTTCTGCAATTTTTTCAAAGGCGGACACACTTCACCTGCTCGCCTCCCATAGGGAATCTGATGTATTTCCCCTCAGCATGAGGATTTATCTGGCATTTGCCAAATACAGATCCATCAGTTTCGGACAAGTACTGTTGGATTTTTTAAGTAAGAGGGACGGAAAATTTTTGAAAATGTCTCTAAACGACAGAAGCTAAACATTTCGACTTTAATTTATTTTGGAGTTATGGTTTCATTTCATGCATTTTCTTAACTGGTATGTCATATATCAGGACTTAGGTGAGTTTTGCATCTATACGGCCCACGACGATGTCACGCCAGTTTAATCTATTGCGGTTTCTGTAATTTATTTTTTTCCACCATTTTTTCTAGAGGCAGCGTTTATGCTGGCGGCTTTCTTCCGGAAAACGGTAATGAAGATGTACCTAATTTTAGAAGAAGGGAAAAAAAAAAAAAAAAAAAAAAAAGATCAGATCAAAAGATTGTATTTACCAAGATTTTGTTGTTTTTATATGAATTAATGGTAACAACAAAAGAATTTAGTAAACATTTTAGATATAATAATATTGTTAGAGTCTGTATGTTGGATTTTTACATTAAAGCATATTTAATCATTCACTGCATATACCCCCCTCCAGAATTTACTAAAAATATTTTATTTGACAAAGGAGCGTGATTCTGACAAAGAGAAGATACAGCAGTTGTTAGAAGAAAATGCTCAACTTCACATTGAACGAAAAGCTTCAATGGAAGAATTGGTTCAGCTGCAAAGTGAACTTTCTCAAGCATTTACTCATTCTTCCCCACGTAAGTTGAGCAATTGAGCATCTGATTTTTATGTTATAGTGAAAAATAATTATATATATCATACCTGACAACTCTCCTGTTTTTTCATCACACCCCCATCTCCTAGTAGGTAACCAGATCTCTTGATTTTTAATTTTGAGTCTTTTTAAGGAATTTTTACTAGCTATTATACAAATCCTAGCTTAATTAAACAAAACTAGCTTAATTATACAAATCCCACTCTTTCTTCTTTTTATAAGGATTCAAGCAAAGTTTAATTAGTTAATATTTATATTAACTAATTTTATTTTACGTCAAAAATGATTCATTACTACTTTACCCAACAACTGTATTGATATTATTTATTTTTATTTTCATTGCATTCAACCACTTGCTTACTTTGCCTGTGCACCGTGCAGGTGCTGCTTTTGGACCTTTACTGATTTGCCCCTATGCTATACAGGCAATCTTGTTTCTCTGTTGCTTTCACAGCAACAGAGAAACTAATTTGATATTAAAAATAGAAAAGATACCAACGATCTTTTCAGTTTTTAATATCAAATTAGTCATATAGATGGCAGTAGATGTCCACTGAGCGGCATTTTACAGGCTTGTTTTTTTTTTTTTTTTTTTTTTTTTTTAAATTTTATGTTGTTTCACGTGATTTGCATAATTCAGCGAATTTTTATCTTTCAGAGCTTAACTTTTCACGTATATTTTAGTGTTGATTTGATAACTATAACTTTATTGATGCACAAGTAATTAAAATTGCTTTTTACCATAAAATAGTGGTTGATACAGAATGTATGCTTCTAATATCTTGCAATTCAGACTGTGATTTGATATCAGAATCTGAAACATCTGTAAGTGGGTCTGTCTGGGAGTGGTGAAAATTCTCTAGATGATTTTGAGTTTGAGCATAGTAAAAGTTCTCTAGATGATGATTAAAAAAGGGGGTAAAGATATGAATTTACAGTTTCCATTGAATTTTATCGTTTGGCTTACTGAAAGACATGCAACTTTAAAAGATAAAGGAAAGTTATTTCTGGATGTTGACCAGCTCTCCTAACGCTAGGAGAAGGATATTTTTAGAGGTGTTTTAACTTCCAGAGGAAAAAAGAAAAAAAAGACCCCCAATGTATGTTCATTGAAGTAAAATGACAGTAACAAAAGAATTAGAAAATGGACTTGCTATTTTTATTTGGACTGTGCCTCTTACTTTGTTTTAAGATATATCACACTAAATCAGATCTTGGAGAAATGTAGTATTTTTAATCAAACAAAACTGTAAAGTAATCATAATTTTGTATATATACAACTGTAAATGTAGCTTTCCTATTAGGTGCTCATGTAGGAAGAAAAGGCAATTTCCCAGGAAAATAAATTTTATGTGCAGTAAAAACGTTCCAAATGCTTAAAAACAAAACATCAATTTTAAATTTTCCTATTTGCAAATGTAAAATGGGGGGGGAGATTTATTAATTGCTATATAATTTATAGCAATTTGTTTTCGATAACCTCAATTGAGAATTATAAAGTAAATTTAAGTTAATTTTTTTTAAATGGCATCACTACGCAGCGTGAAAACATTCTTGATTTTTCATATTTCAATGTTGGCAGCCTTGATATGTATATACAGTCAAAAGTCTTTAATCCGGACTCATCGGGACTTTGGCGATTCCAGATTATTGGTTTTTCTGGATTATAGATCATCGGTTTAAATCTGGTAAGATGGTATGCAGAAATTATAAAATTAAAAATATGAAACTGTAATTTATGAAATAAAGAGCAATTATGATCTAAAGCGTAACAAAATTTACAAAAAAAAAAGCTTAATATATATTTGTTTACTTTATTAAACATTTCTTTCAATGCATGCATGTGTAAAGCATACATTGCGCATAGTCGAAATTAGAAAATTGTAACCAGAAAACTATTTGATGTGTATTCGTGATATTTATAATGACGAGGAATTGATTAAAATCATATCAAAGACAGAGTAATCGAGATGAACTACATTTAGTAAATTTGAGCCGAATAAAATAAAAACATCTGCCCTGAAGATAAGGATAGTGCTGACAGATCAACTTCCAGTTCATTGCGCTCCGCGACGCCTTGCCCCCAGCCCGCAGAGCAGCATGATATTGATAACCAGGTTTCAGAATGGTTAGAGAAACAAAGGATATGCCTTTATTCATTTTTGGCGGTAATTCCGCTTTTTGTTTGATGGACATCGAAACATGCTTTCGCTTTATAGATCCTTTGGCAGCTCCAGAATCGGAAATTTTTTTGACATAATCGAAAGTCAAGCTTACTTTTATAAATATGCTAACAGTCTGCAAAAATTAATAAGCCGGATCCAATTAAAAGATTAAGGAACAGCACAATCTACAACATTAACTGAAATAGATAGTTAGATAATTTTAGCTTAGCTTATACCATCCGTTATACATTAAACGGGCATGCGTAAAGGTATGGCTTGTGCGCATTATGCGTTGACGCTAGTGCAGAAAGTTTGTAGCTTTGAGGTCCGGATTAAAGACTTTTGACTGTATAAGTAAAATGCAAACTGAATTTTCTAGGAATCAAACTGATAATTGTAACCAAAATAGCCATTTGAAGCATTATTTAATCTGTTTTAATATTTATCTCATCATCTTCTGATAACATTATGATTGTAGAATATGTTCAGTGTATATTGGGACAGTTTTATTATTAATAAAATTTTGCTTATTTATTAAAAAAATTGCTATGATTGGCAGCATATTATAAGAAATTTGTAGTTTGGTATTGTTGCCTGTAAGATTTACTATTCGTAATGTTCTGGCATAATAGTAACTTGTAAATTATCTTTAGTTTAAGTGATCTATGATTCTAACAAACTGCAATTATTTTACATTTGTAATTGTTCTGTTGTCCAGAGAGCTGTTAATTATTTATAAAAATTGTTTGATTACAGTAGAAAATCATAGTCTAATGGAGCAACTAAATACTGATGCACAAACTCGAGTTCTGCAATTAGAATTAGAAAATCAAAGGCTTCGAATGTTAGTTGAAAGTCTGAATCGTTCTCCATCTTTTGAAATTACTGATCCTGTAAGTTTTGGAATATTTTTTCAACAATATTGAAATATGCTTTTAAAAGAATATTTTGTAAAGTGTAATTATACAATAATAATTTTTGACTCTATACAAGAGTCAAAAATTAATGTTAAATACAAAGGGCGATAAAATGAAAAGGTACAAAACGACGTAAAAACGTAACAGTTAAATATTCCGCCATGGGAGAATGTAGTGATACATCTCGGGATGCGATTGGAGTCTCTGACTGGGATCGGAGCATGTGCGGTCGCCTGCATGTGCAGGAGAGAGCAGAGGCTCTTAGCCAAAGCGGCGTCCAATTGATGCGGCACTCCGTATGAGGACAGGATGGTGTTCGCATTGCAAAATTCGACGACTGAGGAGCAGCGAGGGGTTATCCGATTTCTGACAGCAGAAGGTGAGAAATCGGATGCTATTCATCGCCGGATGGTGACAGTTTACAGGGAGAAATGTGTCTCTGACAAGTCTGTCAGAAAATGGAGTGCCCGTTTTCGTGCAGGCCATGAGAGGGTGAGTGATGACCGGAGACCGGGCTAGGCATCACTGTCATCACGAGCAATCTCATCGACAAGGTGGACGACCTAGTGAGAAGTGATCGGCGTGTCACATTGCAAATGTTGGCAATGAAGATGGATGTCAGCTATGGAACCGTGTGGACAATTGTTCACGACAGGTTGCGATATTGGAAGGTGTGTGCCACTTGGGTTCCGAAGCAGCTCACGGACCAGCAAAAAGAACTGCATATAGGGCTAGCACTGCACATCTGTTTCGTATCAGAAACCCCGCTTCATGGAGCGGATCGTCAGGTGATGAGACCTGGTGCCATCAGACGAGCCAGAGACAAAGCGAGACGCATGCAGTGGAAGCATGCATCGTCACCTCCCCCTAAAAAGTTCAAAGCCGTGCCATCAGCAGGCAAGGTGGCTCACCTTTTTCAACGTTCAAGGTCCGCTACTTGTGGAATTCCTCGAGCACAGAAAAACCATTAACTCTGATGGGTACTGTGAGACACTCCGACGCCTACGCAGATTCATCAAGAGCAAAAGACCAGGGCTGCTCACGGAGGCTGTGGTTCTGCTCCATGATAACGCGCGTCCACATGTCTCCAGAGTCACACACATGGAACTGGCCAAGTTCAAGTGGGAGATGTTGGACCATCCACCCAACAGTCCGGACATGTCGCTCTGCAATTTCCATGTGTTTGGTCCACTGAAGAAACGCCTGACGTACTCAAGGACGCTGTAAAGGAATGGGTCTCATCACGGCCACAGGAATTCTGAGAACAAGGAATCGTGCGGCTTGTTTATCAGTGGGATCATTGTGCTCAGGCCTATGGTGTATATTTTGAATAAAATCTACATTTGTACCCACCATGTCGTTTCGCACTTTTTCATTTGATCACCCCCTTGTATTTTATCGTTATAATCATTAATCATTATAATTTATTTTTTATTTATTTTTATTTTTTGAAATTTGGAAATTATAATACAAATTGGATTTCATTTTACTTAGCTAAGTTGTTCCTGAAAATCATCCTGCTTTTTCTGTTTTGTCAAATTTTAGTATTTTTTCCCTTTGTTATTTTCTGGTAACTTAATTAATTTCCCTCTCTCACTCTGTACTTGACCTGTGCATTCATAATCTAATGTTTACAGTCATAATTTTGTCATTGTTTTCAATTTTATGAATGTATTGAAGCTGAGAATTTATTCTGATATCTCGCCTTACATTGTATGTTTGATATTAATCTCGCAACCTGGTATCTCGCCTTATATTGTATATTTGATATCAAGCCTTATATTGTATGTTTTTAAGTTATGCATGAAATAAATATGGCAATATTTATTATTAATGCCTGTCACGAGTTACATTTACATGGATGGCATTTTGATGCTTAATATGGCACATACATCATTTTTAATGCAGTGTGTGTTGGTTTTAATAATTTCCAAAATGATCTTCTATTTTTAATGCTCCTTGGTACAGACAGATGATGGATGACAGTATTCTGTAACTTTAAAAGATAACCTCCTCCTCCCCATACATTGTGAAAACCTAGGAAACTTTCAAAACTGTAAAACTTTGTAAAACAACAACAAAATTTACTTGAAGGCTATTCAGGTGTTAGTGGATCCACATCTTTAGATTTCAGAAATTAGGTTTAAAATTTTCTTAAAATGAAAAATAGCCTAATAATTATAATAGAAATTGGAAAATTATATGAAGTTTTTAGATTTATTTGCTAGTCATAAAACACGAGACTATTCTCTGAAATAATTATAAAAATTTTCATCACATTAGTATTTTATTATCAGTAAAAGACAACATCAAGTGTTATTTTAGATCTCTTTCATTACAGAAAAGCTTGATAGTAAAATTTGTTTAAACACAGGAAATATGGTCTCTTAGATCAGTTAGTTCAATAAATAAAGAATTAAAATACAATGACGTTTCAAGTATTAAAAAAAAATGCATTGAATATAAAGGTAGCCAATAAGCAACAACATTGACTAAGATAATTTCAGATTAGTTTTTATCTTTTAATGTGAATTCATGTTCCTATCTGTACTTACATAAGTTAGAATCAAATTATTATTCCACTTCCATTATAACATATTTTGTTTCATCACTTAATTATTTACTCTTAATTTCTTTTCTTTTTACATATTTGAAGTGTAAATAGTTTGACTATGTATTTGTTTGCAGCATTTAAATTTTGTTCTTTTATTTTAATTCGTATAATATTATATTTTTATCCCAATTTAAAGTAGTTTGATATACCAGTTCTAAATAACAGAAAAAAGCTTCATTAACACACATTACTGTTAGAATTTAAAGTAGTTTTAAAAAATAAAAATAATAAAAAATTTCAGTTGTTTCTTTTGGCACACAACTCTTAACTCTGTGAGATATGTATTTTATTTGAGATTATTCAGTTGTATCTGTCATTCAGTGTTGCTTGTTGCATACCTAAACGCACTCTTATATGTGCTTTCCTGTGAATTATTATTATTATGATTAAAATTATGAAATATTATGATTTTGTGCCTGAACTAGTGACGAGAAGTTTTTAAAGAAAATGTAAAATACTTATCCCAGTGTGTATTGATTCCAACTTATCTATTTCACACTTTTCCCCTGTTGTTTCATTTATTGAAGTCTGTGCTTGAAAATTGTTTCTTTTGATACTGAGACTGGATTCAACTTTTTGCTAATTTCTGAGATGATATTTTTGTTCCACAGAAGTTATTTTTGCAAGCAGGTAAAAGATTACAATTTATTACATGTGTTGTAAATTATATGTGCTGTAACTGTTATGTAACTTTTTTCATCTGTTTTATTTCAGTTTTAATAAATAATAAAGCTATTCCTTAGTTTTCTATCTTTCATTTTCAGGAAAGTATGAAGGATATGGAAAATTATATGAATAATTTGGATCTTAATAGTTGGAAGAACAAAGAGACCTTTGAAAATGTAAGCTGGACATTGTTATGAACATTTGTATTGGGAAATTCTGTGTGGTACCTTTTAAAATCTGCTGTATCCATAGGAATTTTTTTTCTTCAAATAAATGTTTTTAATATAAAAGTTATAAATGTTATACAGATGGTTTCCCCCCCCCCTAATTTTAGATTGGAAGTTTAAAAAAGGAACATAAGGCCTTGAAAGAAAAGAACAACAATCTTGAAAAAGAAGTAGCTGAATTAAAGCTGACTGTAAAAAAGCTATCATCATTTGAAACTCAGTGTAGTGAATTGGAAAAACTGGTTGGAGAATTGAGGCACACTTTGAAAGTTCAACAGGTATAGTTGAGGCTTGCAACCTGAAATATTAGATAAATTATGTTAAATCTGTGATAAGTTATGTTAAATCAAATCTGTGATTGTTTGGATATTTTTCCTATACATATTTATTTGAGGTAAGTCGAAAATTATATTACTCTAGAACTGATTATTTCATAAAATTTTTAAGAAAAATATTATTTATGTTATAAATATTATTTAAGCTTTCAGAAGCTTTAAGCTTTTCATTTAGAAAAATATTATTATAAATATTATTTAAGCTTTCAGACTGTTTTATTTTTTATTATTTTTTTAATTACTCATTTTATTAAAAGTAATAAAAATGCTTCTGAAGAATGTGTAAGTTACGCTAGCTACCTCTGGCCAATGGCATGTGCATTAAAACTTTAAATTATTTTGAAGTAACCAGTAATTTAACCTTCAGCAGTAAAAATTTTTTATTGTTGTATATGTTGGAAGAATACATAGTTTTTATAATTTCAGTTTTGGGTAGTGGTGGATAAAACAGTATAACTATACTGGCAAATACTAACCCTTTACCTTTTAAAAAAGTATATTCTGAAAGACAGAAAATATCCCACATTCAGTTACAAGTGCATCTTAAAGACTGAAGAACGTAGATAGCGTATCTGAGTGATAGTGATGCTAGTATACACGGTTTAGAAGTTGCGCATATATTTCTTTGTTTGAGTAAAATTTATGCAGGTTAGTAGTCTAGGGTTAAATAATTTTAAAAGTTAATTAATTTGATAAGTATATAATTATGAAGAAATTTCTGAAATGTTAATCCAGTCCTTTTTTGTATTTTTTTTATTATGTGTAACTTATTAATTGATATCTGTGTAATGGGACTGTCTATTCAGTAATTAACTACATAACCCATTCATGGCAGCCTGCTTAGACACCGAACCACTCTCTTGGGACGGTATGCTAACAGGATGCTCTGTCTTTTAGGGACAGGCAATTCATGCTCCTAAGCCTAACTTTGGAAAAAAAATCACATAAATTAAATTTGTGGTCCAATTGTTCCAATTTTTAATACATTATGAGAGGAGCACTCAGATAGTTATCAGAATTATTTAAAAAATTTTATGAAATAATCAGTTCTACAGTAATATAATTTTCGACTTACCTCAAATAAATATGTATGGGTTTTCCCATACATATTTATTTGAGGTAAGTCAAAAATTAAATCTGAGATTAAATCAAATCTGTGATTGTTTGGATATTTTTATATCCAAACAATCACAGATTTGATTTAACATACTCATTATTAAAAATCTCTCATAAAAAAAAACAGCATGTATAATCTTTGACTTACCTGAAATAAATACATATAAGCAAATAAATATATCATATTAGAATCGCTATATCTATCACTTTCCAATTTTGCAAAAATATCAGTGTCAGAAAAAAGACTCATTTATCATTTATGTATACTCTCCTTTGTTAAATATTGTTTTTGTTTTACCATTAAGGTATGAAAAATATTTCACTGAAGAATACAAAATATCCTTAACCTTAGAAAAAGGTCTAAGGGGAAGAAATAAAATCTTTAAAATGATAGCATATGTACCCTGGTATATTACCCCCTCCCTCCCCTCAAAAAAGTATTACAAAACATCGAGAACATGGGCATTGGTTCGTATCAACTGAAGCAGTTTAAAGAGTCATTATATTGCCCAAAACCCTTGAATCTGGCTCTCATTTTGAAATAAAATACCCAAAATAAGAAACATTGCTAAGGAATGAAGGTCAACATACTTCACTTTTGGTAAATTTCACTATAACAGACATACAGGATAAATAATAATTATTAAATCAGAACAGAAGAGAATCTTTTTTTTTAACAATTAAATTTTCTATCTTAAAAATGTGCTACACCAGACCACAAAATGAATTTAAACTGTGTTTTATGTATGACATGCCCAGTCATGAGATAATGTTTGATGTCGATGCATATATGGCAAGTCCGCCGTGAAGGGGTTAATGCATTCAAGTGATTAACATACAATAACACGGCGAACAAATATTAATTTAAAGTCAAACAACAAAAATCAATGTAATATTTTTCAAATTTTCGTAGGACTAGTTTCGATGGTTTTACCGAACCATCATCCTCAGCTGCAAAAACGCAAATGAATGAGTTGCGCTGCGCTTTTGCAGCTGAGGATGATAGTTCGGTAAAACCATTGAAACTAGTCCTGTGAAAATTTGAAAAATATTATGCTGATTTTTGTTGTTTGACTTCTAAATTAGCATTCAAGTGAGTTAATTTTGATGCACCAAACTAAATTTTTATGTGTGCCTCAGTTAAGATGTTCGGCAATTTCTTTCACATATGAATGTAAATGTTTATATCTGCTACAGTTTGAGCCTACTTTCTTTAACTTCAGAAAATTTGGCATCAGCACATATCAGCTATTTGATTTGCACATATGTCTTTTTTTTTCTGTCATTGAGACAAAGGGCATTGCTTTTGTTTCAGTAGGCTGTATTGAATTGCAGTCAGCAGGCTTTGTTTTGCATTTACACATTCATGTATATTAACATTTTTGCAATTTATCTTTAACCATGTTATGGGTAGTGATTGAGACTCTTACTCACTTTAGATGATGATGAAGCTACTTAGTTCCAATCATGCTTATTTTTTTAATTGCCCATGCTGCTTGGTTCAGCAGTATATGTAATAAGACAACTTTTTTAAAATATACATTTTTTTGGGTGGATAATTTATGTTAATGTGCTTTTATGTGTAATAAAAATAAAGGATAAAAAAATTAACAGAAAAATTATCACTTTCTGAATTTGTTTTTATTGCATTAAGAAATTAAAATTTTTCCATTACTAATACTCAGATGTCTTATTTGGACCATGTTATCTTATTTTCCATGTATGTGTTGTCTTATTTTCTGTATGTTCTGCAACTCTGAAAATGTAGTGTTATGAATTTTAAACTGTGGCATTAGGTCAATGACAGGAGCTGATACTTTTTGATATTTACAGTTATGATTTGCTTTAGATGTTTTTACTTGCGAAATATATAATAATAAGTGAAATTATTAGAGTTACAATAACGGGGTGGAAAAGAACCCATTAGGGATCACTCATTGCTGTTAATTAGCATCAAATTCAATCATTTCACACTATTAAATTTTGTATTTGATAATGTTGACTTTTTTCTAATCAAGAAATGTTTTGTTAATATTTTAAGATTCTCTGCTTAGATTTTAAAAGTGCTATTCTAGGATTTTTTCCCTCTATCTTGGTAGTAGTGGAGAAAATGTTGTAAACATTTTGAAAATAAAAATAAGTAGACGCATAATTAATAAACTTTTGTTCTAGTTTGAATCACCCCTCAGTATTACTTGTAAAAGTGTTGGAAATTTCTCCCTTAAATATGTTTTGCATTTGTAATTAGTATTGACATAAGTTTCACAGTCTGTGAAATGAAATTTCACTTTGGAATGTGATGCCTAAAAATGTGTAATTTTAATGTTTCCTTTATATTCCAGTCTGAAATAGCCAAGTGTGAGCAGCTTGAACATAATCTAAACTCCTTAACTACTGAAAATCAAAAACTTCAAAGAATTGTTGAGACTAGTCAGCAGAGAATAAAGGATTTGCAGCAAGATCTACAAGCAACTGAAAATGAAAACCAAAAATTGAATAACAACATGGAAAGCTTGAAACTTTCTGTTCGAAAGTATCATGATCTTGAACGGGAAACAACAAACCTGGAGACTATAAATCATCGATTAGAACAAGAAATGAAAGGACTTGAAAAGGAGAATAATAGACTGAAAACTGCAATTGAAGTAAGTCCATTGTGTTACACATATTTGAGTTAAAAAAATAAAACATTTTAACATCTTAAAACACAGTAAACCAATTATTTGATTAATTAGAAATTTAAAACTTTTTAAGATTTTATGCCACTTCTCTGAAACCTATCAGCAGAATAATTTCAGTATCTGTCTTAAGTGTAATTAATGTCTTTTTTGGGGGGTACTTTCTGGTTATCTGCACCCCATATTCTGAAAAGTTGTGAATTCATTGCTGACTAAGTTTCTCCAAGCTAATATGCAAAAGGCGAGAGCCATTTTTAAAATGGGAATGCATGGAGATTTCCATAAAAAAACTTTGAATCAATAAAATCAAATAAACCAGAAATATAATGAAATGCTAACCTTTTTCAAGAAGATTTTGTGCAATTTTTTTTTTTTTTTTTTTGTGTGTGTGTGTGTGTGTGTGTGTGCTGTTCTCCTCATGTATACAGCAGTATGTTTTTCCTTATAAAAATAATCAGAGAGTTTTGAAATTTTTTATCCATAAAATATGATCATTTAATAAATAAAATGCATTGCATTCTTTTTCATCAGTAGCAAACTTCACAGTCTCATGTAACAGTTCTTTGCCAGAAAGCAAAACACACTGATCAGAAAAATGACCATTGATTTTGGAAGGTGGAAATTCATGCTTATCTGCTGCACACATGAACGTAACTGGGATGTTACATAAAAATACAATTTAGTAATGCCATAAGTTCCTTATTTTGGCAACATAGTCATAGTGCAGGGGTGTGGATAATGAGGAACTCCCCCCTTTTTTTGAACAACAGCTGCATTTGTAAACTGTTGTATTTAATTGTGTACAGATGTATGATAAAGCTTTGTCTTTTCTCATAATTATTTATTTTTAATGTATGTCATGCTTTGACTTTTCTGCCATTTAACATTATATTTAAAAACACCATGTGTTAGTCTCAGAAATCTCTTTACAACATTTATCTTCTAATAGCTGAAAAAATTTAATATTAAAAATTTCAAAATAATTAGTGTTAAAAGAATTAAATATAAAACAGTATGCTAATTAAGAAAAAGATTCTGTAGCATATGACAGAAATATTTCCTGCTAATTACAAAAAAGTTGCAAATGTTCATAAAAATTATTAATTGAGAATATTATAAATTAAAAAAGTTATTGTTTTTAAATTGCTCAGTTTGTTTAATCAGCAGGTAGATTTAAGATCTGTTAAAGATCTTATGGTTCCTGAAATGGCAGTATGTTAACAGGTATCTAAATGCAAAGACACATGGAAAATAATTTGATGGATTTTTTATTACAACACATTGCTTGTAATTAACTCTGTTTATTAATCAATAGCAGACTGGTTAAATTTAAAAAAGTAAATTAAAGACCTAATGGTTTGCCAAATGTATGTGAGAGAACATGGGAGATAAAAATCTTTTGTTTCATTCACTGGTGTAAAAATATTTTGTTTTATTCACTGGTGTAATTGCAAATGCTGCTTCTGGATTCTTTCTAGAATTATCTTATCCATCATATTAGTCATGACAAGATTTTGGGTGTTACATGAAAATAATGCAGCTCTTCCATAGTGTTAAAAAAACTAGTGGAAAATTTCAAAACTATAATTTTGGCATTTTTTATTAAAAACTAAATATTATATTTCCAAAACTTTCTATAATTGTAGTTTATCAACATAATGCTTCAAAAATGTATTGAATAACTTTATGCTAATGTATCTTTTTTCCTTTGTTTCAGTCCAAAGATTTAACTATCGAAGAATATGCATCTCGTGTGTCATACCTTGATAGAGAAAATAAGCAGCTTTCTAAAGAAGTTGAAAACTTAAATCAGGTAGCTGCTAAAGTTCGTGAGTTAGAGCGGGAAAATAAAGATTTAAGTCAACAGACTGCTGTTGATAAAAAGTCCTTAGAGGCCTTAAGACAAGTATGCTATTAAATATATTAAAATACCTTTGTATTATTAAGTGATATTTAATAGCCATAAATCACCTTTAGTGGTTTTAAAGGATTTGTAAAAAATTTTGGTTATTAAAATTATAAGGTTATGTTTGAAAAAAATCTCTCTCTTTTTTTTTTTTCCCCCTAGCTTTTTTTATGTAACATGACCTTAAATATATGTGTTTTGTCTAAAAATTAGTTGTTGTGTGAGTTTATGGTAGTGTGTATTAAGCATTGTGTCAAATTAGTTTTTGAAGTTATATATGAATATTTTAACTAATAATATGCAAATAAAGATCATATATGTACTTAAAATGAGATTAATAAATGTTAGCATTGAATTTCAATAAAGATCATGATTTATCAATTTAGGATTTAGTGTCTGAAAAGATTGCCAACCAAAGACTGACCAGCGAAATTTATAAAGTCAAATCTAAAATTGAAAACTGTGAATCTCCTCAAGAACTTTACTCCTGTGATAATAGTTCCCAACAAAAGTAAGGTTTTAGAGCGAATATTCTGTCTGTGTGAGAGTTATATTTTCAGTATTTTCTTTTACGTCTGAGATGTAACTAATGTGAGGATATCATTATATACTTTTTTATCTTTGCTGTGAACATATGTATTGGACAATTGCTATTGTGCATTATAGCCACATGATTAAGTGGCATCTTAATTTAGTAATCTGGGAAGAAATTTTTTCATTATTTTGTGACATCTGTTCATAGTATATGAGAAATAAACCATAATTTCTGTATTAAAAATACTATATTATTTGTGTTTTTAAAGATAAAATAAATACTTAGAAGAATCTTAATATCCACCAGGTGTTGCAACCTTTTTTGGATACTGCAAAAAATTAACTAAAAATTTTGAAATTATGGGTTATGGATTGGCATTGCTAAATTTATTGATTTCTCCTTAAATTTGTGATACAGTTTTTTTAAAATACATATTTATTATAGCAGCTTTCTAATCAAACAAAAATGTTATTATTATTTATTTTTGGTTTATTTTTTATGTATTTTTCAAGTGCTCCTTCTGTGTTTATGTTTTATAATTCATTTTTATATATTGTTCTTTATTTTCGAAACTAAAGTGGGTCACTTGAAATTATGAAATGTGTCATTCAGTGATCTGCAGTTCATAAGTTGTCTAGGTCTGTTATACACTAATCAAAGATTCAGAATGTTAGTTTTATAACTTTCGAACATTTTTTTATTTAAAAATATTTCTAAGTCATTAGGATTATTTTGAAGTAGGAGACATGCAGTGCCTTTGCTGGGATTTTAAACTCATGACCTTCTGTTTGCTAACCAGCTGTTCTCGATCGACTACAAAGGCACATGATAAGGAGGGAGAAAAACCTTACATTCTTCCTCACTTTAAGGGGGACTTAGGAGGAGGGGACCCAGTCACCAAAATCCTGGTGGCAACTAATTATAAGCCATATTTTTTTTTTTAGTTCGGGTGCCACTTGTAAAGTCATAGATACATAGAAATGTACTGCAGTGCCGGGTTCAAACTCACCCGGGTTCAAACTCTGGACCTTCTGATTGCTAGCTAGATGTATTTTCCAGTGAAACCATGAAGACATGCTTAAAGAAGGAGAAAAATCTTATAAGTTAGCTATATAGAGTTTACAGTTCATAAAGCTCACAAAAAGCATAGCAGGTCTGTTGGCTTCCTTTCAGTTATGGTGCATAAATATTTTCATTATTACAATCCTTCAATTAATTATTTGCTCCAGCAGCATTTATCACATTTTACATTTAATTTACTAATTGATCACACATTTTACTTATTGCATTCCTATATGTTTTGTATTATATTATTGGATTGTACAGATTTATATTTAATATAATAATGTTTATAGCTTGTGAGAAAATATTCTTAGACAACATAATGTTTTGCATTTGCAGTTTTATCCAATGAACCTAAACCAAATTCTTATCAACAAGCAACTTTGTTACCTAATATAAAAATATCATATCTACTACCATACCTGCATACTGCATAGTTGTATAACTTTAAACTATTCAGTATTGTAATCGCATAACTATTAATGATTCAGTTCTTGTAACTTTCAAACCATTATTATAATTTTCAAACCATTATGAAGATAAGAGATTTTTATTGTGTAAAAGTTATCTTGTTTTATCATTCCATTTAGATGCATTTTATTAATAGTTATATTTTGTCATTTTAAATGTTGACACCTTATGCATACATCTTGAGCTCTAAATGGTTTTAGTAAAGAGAGGCTGTAACTTAATCTTAAAAACTCATTTTCAGTAATGCAACACAGACTGGATAAACTTAATTTCAATTGAGAAATGAAGATCTCTCTAGTATAAGCCATATTTAATGTTTAGGATGTTTTTATAATATTTGCTATAGCTTGCTGAGTAAATATTATTTCTCATGTAGTGAGCTAAAGGCAGCTGATAAATTTTTATGTGATAAAGAACAGAAGATTGAAGAATTGATTATATTTCCTAAATACAGGTAAATGATATAAGTGACTGAATTACTTCCTATTTTTCTTTTCATAATGAAAAATTTCTTCAAAGCATTTAATTATATTGTTTTAATTTTTATAGCTTAGACAATAACAGCACTTCAGATTTTCAAAAAACTTCTCTTGGGAAGCAGTTGGATCTCATTTTGCAAAAATCTCCTGAGGCTTCCCCTAATTTAAATCAAAAGCGGATGGATAATTCTTCAGAAAATGAAGAGAAATGTGTATCTAATGTGTAAGTTTATTTGCATTTATTCAGAGTTCAAATGTGTATAATACATGTACACAGCTCAAGGGGGAAGAAAAAAAAAAAAAAAAAAGACAGCTCTATATCTCCCGTTCTACTGGGCCGATTCACAAAATTCAAATTGCGTTCTTTATGGCTCAAAAGCGCAACTTAGGATATATATTAGATTTATATATAACACTATTCTAACATAGGTATTTTGACACAAAATCGGACTTTTTCTGAAATAACATACCATTTCTTTTACATATTTCGATTCTACGACTCAAATTATGCCTAGATACTAAATTTTGTAAAATTTGGTGCAAAATTTATGGAGAAATTCAACAGTTTATCTTGGCGCTTTTTTTTTTCAGTTGCGCCAAGATTGATTCATTTGCCGAAATTCTTAATGTATGGCAACCTATTTTCCTTTTCCTTGAGCAGAAAAAAAGTTACAATCGTTCCTTTTTTCAAATAATGCTCTTCATATTATATTTTTAATTATAATTGTTATTACCTTAAGTAATTTTTTTCGAACATTTTAATTGTTTAAGTTGCACGGTTTCTTTCGAATAACTATTTTAAAAATTTCTTATTTACCCATTCGAACTGCATAGTTTAAACCCCTAAAAGCGTTAAGGCATCGGAAAATTCCGTACTTTATTTTTTTTGCCTTCAAATAGTTTTCTTTATACTATTCTTTTAGTCATACTTACTATTTAGGTAATTTTTAAATTTTTACTTTTATTTTAATTGTTAGTGTTGCATTGTCTCCTCAGATAATTATTTTAAAATTTTCTATTTATTCATTCAAACTGAGCATTTTAAATATATTTATTAATATAAATTTTCCAGAATTTGATTTTATTTATTTGAATTGCTGAATTGCGGTTCTTTCAGAATACTTTGTGTCGCAGACGATGGTGCATCTGAAAACTGAATATATTAAAAGAGAAAATACATTAACCCCTTAACGCATTTGCCCGTGTCTCACACGGGCGAAAGTTTCCGGCAAATTTGCACATGCCCGTGTCTCACATGGGCGCCCTTGTATCTCGCGTTATTTTATTTCTAATGCTTGTCTGAGATCCGTTCCAGTAAAAATAAATAGGCTAGATCATAATTAAACTTATTTGACATAGATGGCACCACTATTCAGCATTTTTCTTGTGTAAACCACGTGGCGCATTTTGATGATTAGCTATAAGTTTGCTAGGAATTCTTTGCTATAAAGTAGTCGTTTGGTGTGGAAAAGGTAATATATCCATTTTTATTACGTAAATATAATAAAAGTAAGCAGTTAACTGCAAATTAACTTATTACTAAGTGATTTTTGTAATTGTTTAAAAAAAGTTATCTGAAAATGAGCGACTCTGACGATGACAATTTTGAATATGCCAATTTATCAGACAGTTTAAGCGATGAGAGTGATGATTTCTTGAGTGATGGAAGTGAATCGGAAGATAATGACAACGAGATTTTGGATATAGCAAGAAAGAATTGGTATCAAAATTAGTATAAATCAACCAAACGTTGCACCACCGAGATTTCGATTTGAAGCTAACCCTGGCTGTTGTTTTACTCTGACGGATTACGATGATGCTTTTGTCATACTTTGAATTATTTTTTGATAACTCTCTCATGGACATAATTCTAACTGAAACAAACAGATATGCATTTCAACATCCAGGATCATCACAGAACCTATGGTCACCAATTACTATGGAAGAATTATACATATTTTTAGCCATAACTATACTACAAGGTATAATTAGAAAGCCTGAGATAAGGATGTATTGGTCAAAAGTTGAAATTTTTCAATCACCTATTTTTCCGAAGCTCCTTAGCTTTCGTCGCTATTCTGAGATAAAAAGATATCTTCACTTCTCTAACAATGAAACTTACGATGCTGAGATTCACCCCCATCCCAAGCTCAATAAGATATGGCCTGTATTTGACCATATAAATAAAAAGTGTTCTTCTCTATATACACCGGAAAGAGATATCACGATAGACGAAAGTCTACTACTGTATAAAGGGCGAATGAAATGGAAGCAATATATACCACTGAAACGAGCTCGTTTCGGAATAAAGATGTACCTTCTTTGTGAATCAAAAACCGGTTACTTATATTCATCCATTATATATACCGGAAAAGGAACGAATCTGAGCGATGCATATCGAGAAATGCCGGTATCAACTCAAGTAGTGTTGTCACTGATTGAACCGTTATTAGATAAAGGGTACTGTTTGACGACTGACAACTTTTATACTTCTCCACAATTAGCGGATTTCCTGGTAAAACGTCAAACAGATACCTACAGGACTCTGAAAAGTACCAGAAAAGAAGTTCCATCTGAAATTAGAAATAAAAAATTGAAAAAGGGAGATGTTATAGCGTTTCAGAGAGGAAAAGTAATGGCGATGAAGTGGAAAGACAAAAAAGATGTCTGTTTGCTTTCAACAATCCATAACACACATCAGGAAAATACAAGTAAAACAGCCAATGATGGCACTCAAATAAAGAAACCGAAAGTTGTAATTGATTACAACGATACAATGGGAGGCGTTGATCGGCTTGATCAGCATCTCCACGATTACCCAACAACAAGAAAACGAGGAAAAAGGTACTATAAGAAAATATTTTTCCATCTTGTGGATATATCCGTATGGAATTCATTTGTACTATATCAAAAAAAACGGAGGAAAACGGGACCATTTGGAATTCCGTAAAATGCTTGTGGAAAAATTAATTGAAAAATACCATTCAAAAGTGTTACCCAAAAGAACAGGTCGGCCTGGTTACCAACCTGGGCCTCTGAGACTAACTGAAAGGCACTTTCCCGAATTTGTACCACCTACAGAAAAGAAAGCGGCCCCTTTGTAGAAATTGCGCCGTTTGTTGCAGTAAAAGAGATGAGAGGGGTAAAAAAGATAAGGAAAGAAACAAGATACTATTGTAGGAACTGTAATGTTGGACTTTGCGCAGTACCATGCTTCATGGTATATCATACCAAACTGAATTTTTAGTCAATTTTATGTTTGCAAGTATGAAAATTTGATTTAATTTGATTTTAATAACTTGAAATTCAAAATAAACATGTAATCAAATCGTTTTCACTTTGTTTGTATAATATATAAATATATTTTTAAATTAGCCTATACTTGTACCCCTGTATGTTGTCTTTTCTAATACAAAGGAGCATAACAAAAGACAACTTTAAGTGAAATTATTCCAAAATTAAAAATAAGATTTTTTAATTAAATTTTTAGTTAAAAATTACTTTTATTTGTCGATCATGTCTTAAAATGCACTAGAGAATATGATTATGCAAGAAAAAAAATAGGTGATTTTTTTTGACCGAAAATTAGAAATTAATGTGTGCCTTAAGGGGTTACACAGTTCACATGCCTTTCAATGTTCCGTTCAGAAAAGATATATAAATGAGAAAGCTGTATAACCGACATTTTAACTTAGGATGACTTGCATTCACTGCTTTAAACAGTTTTATCATTGTGCCCATTGCTTTACACAATTTTATCCTACATTTGGTTTCTTAAAATGTTATTCATATTTTAGTCAAATATTTTATTTTTGAAATCGCAAGAATCAAATATCCTAAGATTAAAAAGTTTTAAATTTAAAAAAATACAAATTTGAAATTTTACGCAAAAAAAATTTTTTTTTCATGCATTCTGCTTCATTCTTGCTCTTTTCCTTTAGGCATTTTGAAAGTATATTAAAAAGCATCCAACTTTTCGAAACATGCAGCCCACCCGTTCGTGGGATTCAAACCTCGGACCGAACCACCAGTGTTCAGCGACTTTACCGCTCGGCCGCTGTTTCATCAGGAGGAAAAAAAAAACGTCTTTAGATGACATCCACATACATTACTGGATAAACTCCTGAATCTTCAAATAATTCGACTGAGAAATCATGGGATTCTCCGTTTATGATACGATATGATGTTCTATAACGTAAATTTATACAACCATATATAGTCTAAAACCAGTCGCTTTTCACTTTAATCTGCAATGATATCGTTTTTGTCTTTTCTGTTAACACAAGCTCAATTGATGGTGTTTGCTGGTGTACACGTCCAAGTGTTTTCTCTTTGAACACCTAAATTCTTTGAAGTATCCTGAAAGTATCTTCAAAAGCGTCCAACTTTCTGAAACATCTTGGTATGCCTGACAGCCAAATTTCCCTGCAAATTTTTGCTTACTTTTTCCCCTAATTTTCTTATTTCCTTCTACAGTTATTTTCAGTGCTCACACAAGAAAACTAAGATTTTTCGATTGCTAGATTTCCATAAATTTTGCATTCTTGTCAATTTTTTTAAAATATCAATTACATGAATTGCGTTTCAGCTTTTCATTTTTAGTAATTTTAAATATAAATAAAGTTTAAAGCGAAGTCCAAAGGATAAATATTTTAATTAAAAGATTTTTTGCTAAATGACAAAGAAATAAAACAGTCCAGCATTGTTTAATCTGTACCACAGAGTGACCCGGCTCTTATATCGCCTGAAACGAACTAAATCATATTAAAGACCATGTTTTTTTTATACAATCTAAAATGCGAGAGAAAAATTAGCTTCTTAAAACATTCTTTCTAAAAGGAATAATATAAAAATTTATATTTATATATATATTTTTTAAAGCTAGGACTTGAACCAAACTGTCAAACTTTTAAAGCTTAATTTATATGGTGGTTATAATTAAAGTTCCACTTTGAAATGGTCATAAAAGGAAAACTACCAGACTAAATGCTATCAAAGTTGGGAATCATGTAAAGGAGGTTATATGAATTTATTTTCCGTGGGAAAAAAAGATTTCAAAAACTCACCACCAGGGAAAAAATGGCACTGTGTGCAATATTGTTAAATGAAATAAGACATGAAAACATCGGTTTAAAATGTGTTTAATTGTTTCCGAAACGTGTTACAAAGCATGTTCAGTGTAGCAGCCAGCATTTTCCGAAAGTAAGTTAAATCCTGTTATTGCATTCTCAACATCTCTTAGCATATCGGGAGGAATGTTACGGACATGTCGGTGTATCACATTTTCTATTTCTGCCAAATTGTTTAGATTATCACCATAAACAGTGCTTTTGAGATAACCTAATAGCCAAAAGTCACGGAGGTTGAGGTCTGGTAGGAAGCCTATAAGACGTTCATTCGGGAAATGTTGCCTAAGTAACTGTGCGACACATGTGAGGTGGCCCTGCATAAAAATCGTAGTATCTAAAATGCCATGTTACTGCAGTTCATGTATCACGAAACATTTTAACATTGACTCTAAGTGAGCTGCAATCACAGTGGTCCAGCTGTCGACTGCTCTTTAGATAAAAATGGTTCAGTTATGAAACTAGCTGTCATTCCACGTCAAACGGTGTGGAATGACTGCTATGCAATGGAACTAGGTAGGTAACATGAGGGATTTCTTTGGCCCAAATCAATTAAAAGCGTTTTGAATCAGTATCTTCATATTTTAGGGCCGAATTCAGGCTTCAAAAATTACAAATTAGCGATCTGTAAGAAAACGATTTCCAGATTGTACGCACTTGTGCGAGTGATTTGTGATCTCACATTTTCTAATCGCTAATTCGTGGTTTTCAGGGACAAATTTCTCCCTTACACGGATGGCGCACTTGACAAATGTACTTAGGATAATGGACCAAAACTGAAAAAATTTCTCCTTCCTCCGAAAATAAAATATTGAAACTTCGACCTTGAATTTATTTTATTATCGAAATATTCAATTTGACTTATCTTCTAATCCTAGTTCTGACAACAATTCTGTCAAAAATTCCGGAGTACTGAAGCTAAAGTAAAAGGTTTAGTATATATTCACCATATGTTAATAAAAATAGATTATAGAATTTACACTGATGCAACTTTTTGTCTGAATGCACAGCAAATAATGGAAGAGAAGGCTTGTAGAGATCTGTTTTTGACATGCCTCTAAAAGTAGATGTCATACTCCTTTTGTCTCTTAAATGTAAAAAAACTTTCCTTTGAGAGGCAACTTTAGTTTTTGGAAAAGAAAAAAAAAATCACGAGAAGTCAAATTTGAACATGCAGGGCGATTAAGTACACATACTTATTTTCAGAACACAAGCGGTTCTCCGATTGGTTACTGAATTGTGAAAAGAGGCATTCTCATGCAATACAAAACATTTAGAACATGTTTTCTGACTGAATAGCACAAGATTAAAAGTCATCTGCTTGATTCACAGCCATTTACAAGTCACCTACTCAGGCAATTGCAGAATCGTTTTGATCCTGAGCTTGTAAGACAAACCTAATATCATTGGATTTAAGCACTTCTTTAATCTTCTGAGAACATTCCTTCTTTAGCTCATATTCCAAGAATATTAAGTGAACACAATTATTTAAAAAAAAAATAAAGCAATGCAAATAAAACACTGTTCAGCATGAAAATCCTCCCTACCAAACTAATGTGTTATTTCAATAATTTCTACCTATGTAACCCTTACACTGACCTGTAAATTGTTGTATCACATAGCAAAATCTAGAGAACATCAACATGTTTTGATTGATTGCAAAGCTGGTATGAGCATGTACATATGCAATATATAAGATTTTATAGCATACTGGGGTACAACGTTGCTAAGGTCAATAATTTTGTCTAAGTTTAGGGATATTGTGCATAATCTGACAATACAGCAATCATGTAGTCACTTCTGGTATTCTTGATACCTGATGTTTCTAGAAATCACCAGATGTACGAAACGGTTATATAAGCAGCTAGCAGGTCATTGGAGGATCAGTATTGGATATATGAGCAAAGTGCAAAGAACTAGCAAATAGCGAAAGTGTTGTAGTAATGCTGTTATTTTCACTGTTTGTAAACAATGCCATTGCAATTCTGTGTGAACAAACTGAACAGTTTCTGTTATAAATGTGGCGAAGTGACACCGAAATCTCAACGAAAGACTTTGAGCCCACTTGTAAGAAAAGTCTGTGAAGTTATATTTTGAGTGCAAGTTGGTGATCAAAACAAAACTTGGGCTTCCAAACTTTGCTACCAGCTTGGCCAAGAACCTGAACAGGATGGTTATGGCATTCTCACAAGCCTATAAAGTTTGGAGTGCCAATTGTTTGGTGGGAACTTCAGAACCGTATTGATGCTTGCTACTTTTGCATAATCCCGAGTTTTCTTACTGAAAGCAAACATAAAATTGTACAGCCTAATATCTCCTGCTTCTAGCATATGTGCCCCTAAGCCTCCAGAAAAAATACGAAATCTACTCGAAATCCGAAGAGATGACTTTTAACCAAAAGGTGCTCTAAGTTTTCAAGAAAAAGATGATTACAAATGTAATAGCAGTAACCATTTTATATCTCAGGAAGTGCTTTGTGGTCTTATTTGTGATTTGGATCTTCCCAAAACAGAGGCACAGCTGGATCTAGTTTACAGCAGTGGAATCTATTTAAAAAGGTGTGAAAATTTCCATATTTTGGAACGGTCAGTCTATGCTGGCGGTATTTTTCTTAATAACAATGACTTAGTGTACTGTCGTGATATCCCGGGTTTAATGAATGAACTTGGCTTTTCTTATAAACCTATGAAGTGGTGATTGTTAATTGACTCTGTGAAGACAAGCCTAATGGCACTTATTGTTTAATGGAAATGAACAACCATCTTCCTGTGGATCATGCTGTAAATAGGAAAGAAACGTACGAGAGCATGCGCATACTTCAAAGCATAAAATATGAAGATCATAAATGGAATATTTGTGCCTAAAGGTTGCACTACTTACAGGACTGCAGAGTGGCTATACAAAACATTATTGTTTCTTATGTGAATGGGACAGCAGAGTCAGAAACCAATATTATGTCATTAAAGAATGGCCGTTACGTTAAAACATGGTGCACAGTCTGAAAAATGTCATCAGTGAACCATTAGTAGAGCAGCAGAAAATTTATTTACCTCCTCTGCACATAAAAATAGAGAAGGAAATGCTTTTCTTTATTTGAGATGGATATTTGCATGCATAAGTGAGGCAAAGCTAAGTATAGTTTGTGTTTCTCATATTTTATATTCTTCCTCCCTTCTCTAAAAACATATGGGTGATAGGTAAAATTCAAACTCGTATTTGAATTCAGCACTTTTACAGTAGGCACAAGAAAACCCAAAAAAAATATCAGGGAAGTATAAAAAATTTAAAAATGCAGAATGGTGTAATCAGAAAATATTAAATCTTGAAAAGTATAAATAAATGACTAAAAAGTTGTATACATTTTTTTTGGTCATTTATGATCTAAGTAATGCAATTTTTTTCCTTATAGATTAGATTCTTCTAATGAAAAAGAAGAATTAGGTCTTTTAACCTTAAGAGAGGAATTACAGGAATTGAAAGCTGATGTTTTGGAACTGGAAAAAAGAGTATGTCTTTCTTTCTATTTATTAAATGAGTTCAGTTTACTTGTCCCGTTTAAAATTGATAAAACTAAGAAAAAAAGCTTGCTCTAATTGTTCTGTATGCAAGAAGTTACTCAGTTTTTAAAAGTAAAATTACTTTTTGCATATTTTTTAATTTTTGCTTTTTAAATTAGGCATAAAAGTGTCTGTCTGTAGGAATATAATATCTGAATGTGTTCCTTCTGAGAACAAAACTCTATATAGCCTTATTATTAAAATAATTAAAATGTTGAATTACAATTCTGCTGTGTTAGCCTGGAAAGAACATTCTCATTGCAGTTTAATATCTCAGTGTCATAGGTAGGGAAGAAAGTATAATTTGAGAGAAAATAGTATTTTATATTTACGTTGTATCTAGAAAGGAATTGATATTGGTACTTTGTGATTATCTGCATCCCCCCTCCAAAAAAGGTGCCAACCCTTGTGACTATTTTTTACCAAGCTAAAATGCAAAAGACTACAGCCATTTTCAAAAATGGTGGTATACCAAGAATTACATAAAACAGCAACCAGTGAACAAAATTAAAAATGCAAGAAACATCTGTAATAAAACACTCACCTTTATTGGTACTTATATGACCATGCCAACTAGGAAAAATTAGCTACCATTGAACCATGAAAGTTGTACAATGTATTTAGGCCCTCAGGTTTCACTAGAAACTCTGTTAAAAACATTATAAACTTCATGCTAATGGTTGTTCCATTCTGTTGCTGTTTGTGGGGTCATGTCAACCTGTTTTTCCTGTGCAGCAAATGTTAATTCTGTCAACCAGGTGTAAATGAACCAGAGTTCAGTCACAAATTCTACATCCCTTGAACTCACTTCCCCCCCCCCAATAGAAGAAAAATACAGTAATAACAGTTAACTTATATCCTTATTTAACAAAAATAAAAGACGGGTCTTGTCCAGAATCAATCAAGGCTATGTTAAAAAAAAACACAGATGTTATGATTGTATTGTGACATCACGCTTTTACGTAATTGGCTCTAAATCACAGTGCTTGGCAACAGTGTTATGGTGGATGAGATAACAGATAGGTACTCTGCCTTTTTTTTTTTTTTTTTTTTTTTTTTTTTATTGTTCTCCCCCATGTACACAGCAATCTGCTTTACCTTGGAGGGGAAAACCATAGAACTGCAGAAACTGCATATCATGTACAACCTGGCATTGCACATGCTGTCATTTTCTTTGTGTATATAGTAATCTGTTTTTGCATAAAAGGAAATTACAGAATAGTGCAGTTCAGCTCTCTGCATGTGCTGTTGTTTCTCCATGTAAACAGTGATTTATTTTAGCTTAAAAAACATGAGAGAATTCCAAAGCTTCAACTTACAAATTTGGCAAAGTGCAGCTTCATGGAATGCAAATTTTTGCATTCTCTACTATTGAGGAAAAAAATGCCATATTTTTGAAGAAATGCAGTGCTTTCCTTTTCATCAGCTGACAAACTCTGCACTTGCACTGGTCATAAATAACCAGTATTTGTCTGCTATACTCATGTAGATGCCTGGGCTGCCACATAAATACATTTTGGTGACATAGTGTGTAGCCTTGTGAATACTTTTCAGGGGATGTGGATGATCAGAAAGAACCCTGAATTTAAAAAATAAAATACAGATTATTATATATTTTTTTTAAAATTAAAATTTTTGTACAAAGTACACTACATGTGTTTCAGTACAATGTCATCTTACTGAAATTACATCATTTGTATTTGTTTTTATATTTTACTTCCATAATTAAAGGTATGTTGTTTAATGCAAATAACCCAGTATGATGTTTAATATAAGTACATTGACTCAGTATTATCTTTCATGGTCAAGTTTAGTAAAAGATATTTAATTTTTGATTTTATTTTGAATAGAGTACCAGGCATCATATATCAGGTGATGCTTTTAGTTTCAGAGAGAGATGGGAGTTCGGCTTATTTCCAAACAAAAAATATATTTCCATATTGTAATAAATATTAGAGGGATATACTTTTTTAAGGAGAGTTATCAGTTTAGGATTTGTTATGTTAAGGTATGTTCACTGCATGTGTATGAGTAAAACATTGTTGGTACATTTTTGTCTAGCATTTTTATCAGCATATTGTTTAATTAAAAGTGTTGAACCTGTTACTGTGGATATTTTCAAATACTTTTGAATAATTTAATTTTGCTCATGTAATGAAAAAAGTTATGATTGTTGTTAAAAGAACATTGTTATATTTTTATTACATTTTTTTTAACAGAAATCATTTATTGAAGAAGAAAACTATAATTTAAATAATCAGATATCAAATTTGAAGGATCAAAATAATAACTTAAGATCTCAGTTGGATTCAATGGAGCAGCACCTTGCTTCTGTAGTATCTCAGAATAATTCTCTGCAATCAAAATTAGCCAAACTTGAAGTAGAAATTACTGTTGTATCTTCTCAGAACAAGACACTTGCATCTCAGAATTCAGCATTTCAAACACAAGTTTCAAATCTTGAAGAACAAGTGAAAAAGGTACGCTGTTGATTATTGAAACCTCCATTAGAATATAATTTTGTATGCCCATCATAGGTAGCATGTTTACTTGATTTTGTCATTAAGTTTTCTGTTTAGTTAACTATAAAAATATGCAAGTATTTTCCTGTATGTGAGGGAACAGATTGTAGCCATATCAGATTTTATTACTCACAAAGAATCTTACTGTTATCAAAATAAGTCTAATATTTGTTTAACTAGTTTGAATTGTGTATGTTTTCAAATAACCTTTTTAACTGTTTTGCATTTTGTATGTTTGTTATCTTTTAAGGCAAATCAGCAGTATGCAGAATTAGACAACAGAAACAGGTGCATGGCAGCTGATCACGAATCTCTTCAACACCTGCATGAGCAGTTAACCAATGACTATGAATCTCTGGCAAAAATCCATAGTTCTCTTAAATCCCATCACAAGAATCTAAGAGGAGAATATAATGATTTAAAGGTGGTACGCATATTTTTTATACTGGGTTACTCTTTTTCTCCTTCTTATATGTCTTGGCTTTGGTATTTCCATATTGTATGCATGAAAGGAATAATGTATTTTTGATATTAGTGACTTAACTTCGAATGAATCTCATAGTAGTGAAAGCCTATTATATATTAAAACCCATTAATACACTGTTACTAAATTGCCATATTAATATTAAAACATTAAATCTGTAATTTATGTGCTGTTACGTATGATAGATGCCAGTGAAATGTTTTGTTAGAAATATTTCAGAAAATACAGATTCTGTGCTTTTTACATAGTGTAAACTTCGAACTTTGAGAACAGAAACTCAGAAATTCAACTCAAAGCTGACATGCTAAAAGTTATTGAAAGCAACACTGAATTGACACATACTGAACTCAACTGAGTGCCAATCAGTTATTCATGTATTTATATAAAATTGCAATAGAAGGGTAGCTTAATAGAGTTAATCTAGGAAATTCCAAATCTAGAAGGGTTAATCTAGGAAATTCTAAATATCATTACTTGCTTCATTATCAGTTAGTTACTGAAAATATTCCTGCACTTTAGAAAGTATTTTTCATTACTCTAAAATATCATACTCTATTGGGAAATTTCCCTCATGCTGTGGACTAGGTCCTTTGTTTGCTGTGTCTATCAGTGATATGATGGATGTGAACTCTGAATACTGTTGGTTTGACCCATTTTCTAATCCTGGCAAATAAGCCTGCTGTAAGAGTTTTTCAAGGATTTCCTTAAGCATAGTATAAATGCAAACCAGATTTCCTTTGAAAATTCTCACAAAAACATCTTTTTCTGAGGCAGATAACCATCATTGCTTTGAGTTAATCAATTAACCAACCAACTAACCTTTATGTGTCTCATTTACAGATTATTTCAGCAATCTTAGATCAGGATCTTCAGTTTGGTTTCTTTTTAAGTAATTTTCTGATAAAGATGATAGTAATTTTCCTAATCATTAAAAGGTCACATGCAGTTATGGAACAGTACTAATTTTTTCATTGCAGTGGCTAGTATTATGTCAATTTTCAAGTGTTATTTTGGTTTTCCTTTTGTTGTAAATTGCTGTTGAAAGAGGTAATTGATGGGAAGATTGAGGAATTGAGTGATTGAATTGAAATTGATGTGATGAATTGAGGAAGATGCTGCCAATTTACAGAGTTTTATTTAATTACTGAACAAACAGAATATTTTATTTTTAAGATCATCTTTATAATAATTATATCTTCTTTGCTGCAGTTTGAATTTTTAACTGTGTTTGCTTGTGTGCATCTTGCATTTATCTGTATCACGTTATTGTTTCTTGTCATTTTTTTTATTTTCTTTATTTTTATTTCTGAGTTTATGGACAATATTCTTTTAAGTGATTTCCCTTTCTTGTGTTAAACTGCCTATTCTGTGTTCTTACTACTTTAAATAATAGAATTGATAAAAATCCACATTTTCTTATCACCTAGTTCTTAATTGTGGAGAGAGTTTCCATTATGTATTCAAAACCATAGCTATAGCAGAATTAGTATTTATCTCAGAATCATTCCACATTAGTTTCTTCGTCACACAAATACAAATTTAAAAAACACACACACCACACACACAAAAAAAAAAAAAAAAAAAAAAAATAATAATAATAATAATAATAATAATAATAATTTGGGGGGCTATATTGATGCTCACAGAACTTGTCTCAGAATCTTTATATTTCTAAGGTAATGCATTTCTAGCATTTCTTGAAAGTCAAGAAGCTATGTTAAGTGAGTTATATTATTATTTTTACTTATTTCTTTATTCTTGTTTGAGGGTTTCACTAGCCTATTACTTAACTTCATCATCATCATCTTGAATAGATATTCAGAGAATTTTCTTCAAACTGCATTGCAGCAGAATGCTAATTACAAAAGGTTTTACAATTTTTTTTTGGGGGGGGGGGATTTGTTTCTTCCTTTGATAATCACTTTCACATTATTTATTCTTCATTGATACTTTCTTCTCTGTCTCTTAGATTTCTGTTCAGGAACTATAATCTTCTTATTCATTGTAGAATGTTTTGTTTCTTCTACTTTAGAAATTTATTTCATCTTTGAAGTAAGTGGAAGTTATTGATTTAATATTAGCTGCAGTAACTGTAGTTTCTTTAGTCTTACTCACAACTGTAAATTAGTATTTGATTGCCTCCTCTATTCTCATTTCAGTCATGGTAAGAAACAATAAAGTTATTTTCTGATATAGCTGCAACAATAGATTTTAAATTAATGCTAAGAGACATTCAGAATCATAAGTTGCTTAAGCAACTTAAAATGATTATGGACAGCATTTCATTTTCATTTCAGTTGGTGTTTACATATTAGTGTCTGCTTCTGACACTAATTATTTCTAAGGATTTGTGAATAATCTTCTGAGTGAAGAAGTTCATAGTTAACAGAAACTTAACTGCTATCAAAACTTTAAATACTGTACAGTTATATATGTTATGAAGTAAAGTTACTACATACTATATAGTTGGTCTCTATATATATACAGTTAGTATATAGTACATATATAGTTGGTCTCTCTATATATACAATTAGTATATAGTACATATATAGTTGGTCTCTCTCTATATACAGTTAGTATATATTATGAAATAAGTTTACTATATATATGACATAATAAAAGCACAAGGAAAAGCCGGAACACTGTTGATGCGTACTTAGATCCATATTGAAGAATTTTGATTGCGTAGTATGCTAGTAAGAACTTGGCAGTTGAGGCAGTTTTAATTCCATTTTTATTTCCAATTGATATTTGTGGCCACAATCACTTTGGCACTCTAGTTATGCCTATTCAAGAACATTACATTTTTGATATAATTGAGAAGGAAAGCAAGCCACCGAAATTACAGCTTAGCAGAGTAGAGGCAAAAGCTGAAGTGCGTAGTTATGCAAGATGGAAGCACACGAAGAGAAAAGTTTTGGTTTACAATTCAGTGATTGGTTGTCAAGAGGCATCTGGTATTAACGGTTACGTAAGATCGCATGATTAATCTGAATGACGCAATGCAGATAAGTTATTACGATTTTAGAATAGAGAGGAAGAATTAATGTTTATAGTTATAATTCTGATTCATACATTTTTATCTTACATATTCCCCCCTTCAAAAAGAAAAAGGCGTAGCGACAGAGAAGCCTTTTTAAAAGAGTTAAAACACTAGCAAATTAAAAAAATATATATATATAAATAAATTATAAAATTTTGATCCTGTAAAGTATTATTTATAAATATCAATTTTTTTAAAATAAATTCTTAATTTTTAGAGTCCTATTGAATTTTTCAACATTTCTTTTTGTTTGAGAGTTCACATAATCATAATTCTTCAGGGAAGGTTCTTGTTATCGCAGAATATCACAAAATAAACTTTACATAATCATTACTTATAATTTAATGTAATGCACATAAATATTTATAATACTTATTTCTATAATGATAAATTATAATTTAACATGACCATATAATAGGATTAACTGATCTTCAGAATTATGGTTTCACCGTTATCATCTTTCATTTAACAATTCCTGATTTTACCAAACTGGAAGTCTCGCAATACTTCTAAACAAACATATCCATCAATAGGGCTGTCCTCTTGAGCTAACCAGCGTGTTTCTCTGCACTGGTGGCCCAGGGTGCCTAGGCAGTTACTTGAAAAGGCCTCCGTTCCTCGCATTAAGGTAACTGGCTTTTGAGAACTGCACTTAATACATTCCATAATAAAAAATATAGCATAATAATGTAATAATATAAAAAATTTACATGCATTCATAAAATGAGAGCCTCCAGCATTATCTTGCATGAAAGAGGGTAAAAAAGAACAACTGTACAGAGGTAATTACAGGCCTCTGTTTGAAGGAACCAGTACACCCTCATCATACTCTATACTTAACACACAATAACCCCATAAATTTTAACATGCATTTACCATAATTTCATATTACATATTGTAATAATTTCACTTATTTTTTACACCTTTATTTTTAGAATAATTATAAAATTCGTATTCAAAATTTTCAACAAAATTTCAAAAACATAAAAACTTATCTTAATATCCTTCCCTATGAATAATTTCGTTACTTAATTTGCTTAATTTTTCGTTAGCTTAAACTTATTTATTTATTCTTGTTTGAGGGTTTCACTAGCTTATTACTTAACTTCATCATCATCATCTTGAATAGATATTCAGAGAATTTTCTTCAAACTGCATTGCAGCAGAATGCTAATTACAAAAGGTTTTACAATTTTTTTTTTTTTTTGGGAGGGGGAGGGATTTGTTTCTTCCTTTGATAATCACTTTCACATTATTTATTCTTCATTGATACTTTCTTCTCTGTCTCTTAGATTTCTGTTCAGGAACTATAATCTTCTTATTCATTGTAGAATGTTTTGTTTCTTCTACTTTAGAAATTTATTTCATCTTTGAAGTAAGTGGAAGTTATTGATTTAATATTAGCTGCAGTAACTGTAGTTTCTTTAGTCTTACTCACAACTGTAAATTAGTATTTGATTGCCTCCTCTATTCTCATTTCAGTCATGGTAAGAACAATAAAGTTATTTTCTGATATAGCTGCAACAATAGATTTTAAATTAATGCTAAGAGACATTCAGAATCATAAGTTGCTTAAGCAACTTAAAATGATTATGGACAGCATTTCATTTTCATTTCAGTTGGTGTTTACATATTAGTGTCTGCTTCTGACACTAATTATTTTCTAAGGATTTGTGAATAATCTTCTGAGTGAAGAAGTTCATAGTTAACAGAAACTTAACTGCTATCAAAACTTTAAATACTGTACAGTTATATATGTTATGAAGTAAAGTTACTACATACTATATAGTTGGTCTCTATATATATACAGTTAGTATATAGTACATATATAGTTGGTCTCTCTATATATACAATTAGTATATAGTACATATATAGTTGGTCTCTCTCTATATACAGTTAGTATATATTATGAAATAAGTTTACTATATATATGTCATGATAAAAGCAAAGGAAAGGACG